GAAAAAGCCTTTCAGACACGTGAAGCTGGTGCCTGGAAGCTTCTACTCACTCTCAGACTCGTGTAGTTTGAACACCCCCTCACTTTCTGCGTGCCTAGAACCTAGAGCAAATTTAGAGTTAGCCGGACCCTTCTCTGGGTGCTCCGCTAGGGCCTGGACACCTCCGGACACACTGATGTGGGGAGGCGGCAGAGCTGGTAGGGGGCCTGGCGCCTGCAGCGGCCCCCCTTTGCTGGCAGGATTTCCCGTTACTCAGAGGGAAGGAGCCCTGACCCGTCCCCTGCCCTCATTCTGGCTCCGAGTCTGCTGAACCCTGCAGGTCTCGGGAGTCTCTGGATCCTTGGCCGAGGCTGGACTGGCCCAAGGCGCTGGGTCCTACCTAGTAAGAAGTCCCTTGAGGACAGTGGCTCCAGCTCAGCCCCTGGAAGAAGCCAAGTGAAGGCCCCAGCATCCTGTGTCTGGTGTGACCAAGAGGCTGAGGAGGGAGGGGTGCTGGGCGTGGGGAGCAAGGGCGGGCACCGTCCTGGGCCAACTCCAGGCTCTCGGCCTCGCTGAGCCGCCGCGCTCGGCCAGCAAGCCTGAAGCCCTGTACAACTAGGACGCTTTGGGGAAGTCGCCATGGAGCCAAGAGGAAGTGAGCCAACTGATTTTGTGCAACTCGGCAGTCCGGGAGAGCCAGCCCCTGCACAAGCAGCCACCTTCTGCCTTCCGACTTCCTGTCTGGGCAGCCACCTGCGCCGGCTGTAGGGCTCAGTGTCCCTCCCCTGCCCGCCCCCGCACCCCTGCTAACACTGCCTCCTGCCGCTTTTGCAGGGGGTTCCCAGGCTTTTCTCAGAAGATGCAAAGAATCAGATGGGTCTCTGGCCAGCCTCTCAGAAGATGTTAAGCAGAACTCCACGGCCAAGTTTGCGGCCTCGTGATGCATCAGCCCCAGGAGGCTCCTGGCCAGGGTTAGGGACGCGTGAGGCCTTCCCCAAGGACTCCAGCGGCCTTTCCTGTCATTCAGACCCAGATCCTTGCCGCCTCCTCGAAGTTCAGGACCTTCTAGTAGACTGAAACAGACATGATCCTTCTTTTTAGAATATCTCCTGAGAAGCATTTCCCTTATCATTTATTTTATTATTTCAACAAAATTCTTTTTGGCGCCTTGGTCCTATGAAAGCTCTTCTTTCCAGCCCAAGGCTCCCTTTGGGCTCAGCCTCCCCAGTGCATGTGCAAGTGGCTGGTTCCTCCCTCTCCTTCTACCTCAGAGCTGGGGCCGGACCTACTTCATACCTGTGCTTTGCTCCCATGGCCTAGGCTGCTGCTTTTCCAGACGTGAGCTCGGAACCCCCTACTGGTAACACAACAGCATCCGACCTGGGACCCCTGTACCTGCCGAAGCGTCACGAGGTCGTTCACTTGCTGGCAGCAAAGGCCGCGGTCCAGGACTTGCACCCTGAAGCCGGGAGCCTGGGTGGGAATGCCAGCTCTGCCGTGCCCTGGCTGTGCAAACCTGGGCAAGTAGCTTAACCCCTCTGAGCCTCGGTTAGCTCAGCAGTAATGACGGAATCTCTTTGATTATGAGAGAGCATCAAATAAGAACTTGCAAGGACAATGCCGAATGCAGTAGCTGTGACAATGGAAAGGGCTGCTCGGGTCCGAGCTGCTTCATCGGTGCTGGGGCCCGGAGCTGAGTGTGTGCCCCCTGGCCCGCGGAGGCGCTTTCACTCATTTCTCATTAATTAGATGGAGCCCTTCTACCCGCCAGGCATTGTGTAGGGGCTGGCGATGCAGACGTGCAAAGAAGTGGCCCCTGCCCCCCAGAGCTGACGGGGCCAACACAGCATGTTGGGAGCCCAGAAGGGGGCGGCGTCTGGGGCCTTGTTTTCAAGGTCCAGTTTCAGAACGGTCCTGAAGGAGCAGGGCTTGTTCTCTAGGCGAAGGCGGGGGAAGGGCTCGCGGGCGGCCTTACCAGAGCACGCACACAAGGGAGAGGAAGTGAGAGCAGCCACAGGCCATGGGGGATCGGCATGGAGGCCGGAGGTTTCTGGGGGAGCCAGGTGACGGGGGGCTGCAGGGGCTGGAGACCCCAGGGCTGAGGGCTGTGTCCACCGCTACGAGGAGTCTGGACTTGACCCCGGGGGTCACACGGAGGCTGGGGGCGGCGCGTGCCTCTGGGGCTGGGTTAGGAGGTTGAGGTGGTCTTTAATGAGGTGATGAGGAACGTTACTTAGCCAAGAGCGGCAGTGGCCGCTCTGTCCACTTTTCCCCTACTGCCCTTTGCTGAAAAGACAAAGGACACTGACGGTCCCATCCTAGGCCAAAATGTTAAGCAACTGTCAGAGCCTTTTCTCCCACCCCTCGAAAATCACCCCCCACCCCCACAAGCAGCGACGGACTCTGCCTACTCAGAAAATGTGAGGAAGGGCTTCCTTTGTTCACGGGAGGAAGTCCCCGGGTCTGCCCAGAGAATTCTGGGAGCGGAAATCCCAGGTGAGGAGAGGTAGCTTGTTCAGTGGCCCCAAGTGTGTCCCTGGCCTCTCCTTTGTCCCGGGCGTCACTGTCTCACCACGGGCTACCCTGTCCCACCACGCTGCTCTTGTGCCTGGAGCTTGGACAAAAACCTCACCTTAGCCTCTCCCGCTCAGCCGAGAGGGGCTGTTTCCAAAAGGACTCAGCGGGGCACAAAGAGCGGCAAGGAGCAAGAATCTAAAAACGCAGCAGCCAGGTTTCGGCCCCAGCCGTCACCTGGGTCCCCATGGCCTCTCCCAGGGGGCTGGCTCCGGGGCTCCGGCTCTTCTCCTGGGCCCGCCACCCTCCCCTCCCCCCAGCTTCTGGCCCACAGCCACGTGAGGCCCACAGTCCGATGTCTTTCTAAAAGCAGGAGCTGTCCATCGTCCGGGCGGCCCTCGAGCATCCAGCGCCTGCCTGCGCTCCACTCTGGGCCCCTCCTCCCTCGGCCACCGCAGGCTGGGCTGAGAGGAGACCGGGGCTGCCACACCCGCAGGATGGCTACTCTTCAGCGGCACCAACCCCCCAACCCAACGTGGCTGTCCCTCCAGCAGAGGGTCTTTCTCTCACAAACTGGCACTGGGTGGGAGGGTACAATTCTTAGAGTGATTCATCCAGACTCAAAGATCAGCGGAGAGTGGGAACGGCCGTTTCATGAGCCCGCAGCCTCTCAGAAATAACTCTCCACGACTTCCTTCTCTGAAGCAGAGATAAAGAAAGCGGTTGCAGTGGAGACATTTGCGAGAGGCCACACTGAAGCTGGTGCAGGGATGTGGGCGCAGTGAACGCAGGAAGATGCTAGAGCGAGGGAATGCGGTCAGAGAGGCCTGCAGAGTTTGCGCAGGAACACAGGGTGAGTCTCGCAGGAACGAGCGAGGCGCTCAGACGGATGTGGACCTGCCTGGGGTGCGGCAGGGGACAGTGGGTGATGGAGAAGCAGAACTGCTAAAGAAGACCCTGGCCGGCCCCGGGCGAGGCCGCTCACCAGGGCCCCTGCGAAAAGTGCTCGTAAGGAAGTCCCAGAACAATACCTGGTTATCGCCGACTTATTTTTGGCTGTACATAGGTTGGTGCTTTAACATAGATATGACAAGCCCTTAAACCCACTGTGCAGGCTTAGGTTCAACTGTTTCTCTAAATAACCCCTTTGGCCTGGATGGGTAGCTCATTTGATTAGAATGTCGTCCCAATATGCCAAGGTTGGGGGTTCGATCCCTGGTCAGGGCACATACAAGAATCAACTGGTGGGGGAGAAAAACAGAATCAACCAGTGAATGCACCCATAAGTGGGACAACAAATCAATGTTTCTCTCTCTCTCTCTTTCTTTCTCTCCCTCTCTTCCCTTCCTCTCTTTCTTTCAAATCAATAATACATAGAGCCCCTTTGGGTGGCACTGAGAAGCAACTGCACCAGGTGGCCAGAGATAGCAATTGCCTTTGAGTGTCTGGTTCCCAGGAGCTGAGACAAGGTGAACAACTTCAGAGAAAGGGCCTGATTCCCAGGCAGAAGTCACCTGTTCCCGCAGGGTGGGGATAGGGTTTAGGGCATGAGGGGAGGAGGGAATGCCCTGTGATCACGAGCACACGGTGCCCTTTCCCTCCTCTCTGCATGGCTGGCCACCCTGCTGCCCTGCTCTTCTGCACAGAGATCTGACCCGCGTGGTTACCAGTGCGAGGGCGTGGTGGGGCATGGGCTGAGAATGGGCAGCAGACAGGAGGTGCTGAGGTTTCGATCTGGGCAGAGAATCTTCGTTTGTCGCTTTGGCAAAAAATCTTTGATAAAAGGCTGGGGTCCAGCTCTGCCCAGCAAAAAGTGGGTGGTTTATAAACAACAGGAATTTATTTCTTAACAGTTTAAGAGGCTGGGAAGTTCAAGATCAAGGCTTGGGCGGAATCCATGTCTTCGGAGGACCCGCTTTCTGGTTAACGGATGGTGGGAGGGGTGGGGAGGCTCTGCGGGGTCTCTCGGAAGGACACCGATCCCAGTATGAGAGCTCCATCCTTCTGGCCTGGTAATTTCCCCAAGGCCCCACCTCCAGATACTATCATCCTGAGATTCAGTATGTGAAGTCTGGAGGAACACACAGTCTGTCTCTACGCTACACGCACCGGGAAGAGTAAATTCTGGCTAAGGTGAGGGGCCTGCCGCCAGAGTCTGTTTCTTGTGCCTCCGTGTCTCTGTTTCCCTCTTTGTCACGGGATATTTTGCTAAGCCAGCAGAAAGCCAGACCAGGAAACCATTACATATCCAGTGCTCCCAGCTTCTCTCCCACCAGGCACTGCGCTCACATCCGGTCCACGTGAACCAATGCTGAGCCTTCTCCGTGCCGCTCCCCCGCCTCCTCAGTCCTTTCCATCCTCTTGCTGAGCGTTCCTGGCTCTGTGCTTCCTCTTGGCTCATCTCACTTCCTGAAACACCCCTGAAGAGCGTTGCTTATCTTGATGGCGCTTCATTAGCTCTCAAGGACTGGAGAAGGCGGAGTGCAGTCCTGGAGTGCATCTCTCTGGGGAACTAGGTGCCACAGCTCTTTCAGATTCAGCCCATGTAGAACTGTCCGCCAGGCTCTCGGGAACCAGGGATGTGTGGCCGGCACAGGGGCCAGAACTGATTGCCCTGTGATGGGCCCTCTCTAAAGAGAGGGTCTTCTGAGAGGACACCCCAACAGAGACGAGGAGGAATGGCTGAGCTGTGAGTGAGACGGTTACTGCTGTGCCTGGACCTCCAGCAAGAGCGGCACTCACTGGCCCACACGGATCCCGTTGGTGCACCTGACACCTGGGAGGCTCTTCAGGGAAACCAAGATGTCTGCCAACAGCACCACCCAGTTTATCAGTATCTCCTACATCACCATGGAGGTTGTCATCGGGCTCTGCGCCATAGTGGGCAATGTGCTGGTCATCTGGGTGGTCAAGCTGAACCCCAGCCTACATACCACCACCTTCTATTTCATCGTCTCTCTAGCCCTGGCTGATATTGCTGTTGGGGTGCTGGTCATGCCTTTGGCCATTGTCATCAGCCTAGGCATCACCATCCACTTCTACAGCTGCCTTTTCATGAGCTGCCTGATGCTGGTCTTCACGCACGCCTCCATCCTGTTCTTGCTAGCCATTGCTGTGGACCGATACCTGCGGGTCAAGCTCACGGTCAGGTAACCTGCGCAAGGATGGGTGGTGTGGGCCAGGGAGAGACGTGTCTGGGAAATGGGGCTACAAAGTCAAGGTCCCAGACTTTTTTAGTGAAAACAAATCCAAACTGGCCTCCGAACTTGAAAGATGTTCTTTTCACCATTTGGCATGTGAGGGGTCAGCAATGATGAGCTGAGACTCAGGCACAAGGAACAGTGCAATCCCCCGCCCCCAAATGACTAAGGGAGTGCCTGCTCTATCAGCCAGAGGAGCTAATGGTGACAAAAGCTTGATGCATCTTTCATTAGTAAAAAATGCTCTTGCCTTTCAGAAATGATAGGCTCCTACTAGATAAGATAAAGAACAGACAGATAAGAGTAAGAGGAGATAAACTCACGCTTCTGTTCTTTGCAAATGTAGGTTATTTTAAAGTTGTTTTAACTTTGTTTCCTCTTCCATGTTGAGAAGAGGGACCAGAAAAGTTCTCCACTGCACAAAGTAGTAACCCTCTTTCCTGTGACCAAGTGAAGGGAACAGATCTCCAAATGGAGAAATCAGATTCCTCAGGTGTCCTGACTACATCGGTCTCAGGTTTCTTCTCTCTTCTTGTGGGAGAAGAACAGGGGTGAGGGAGCTATAGAAGAGCTTTTGGTACAAACAAGCCTGGGTTCAAATCCCAGATCTTGAAATCTGATCTTGGGCACGTGATAGAACTTTCTCTGCTCCAGTTCCTCATCTTTGCAGAGTAGTTAAGATGCTCTGGACCCAGCCTTACCTCTTTGCAATTTGAGCTTCATCACTTCCAGCTTGGACTTGGACAAGTAACTTGTCCGAGTCGTTTTTCTCACCTATAAAATGGGACAATAATCGTACCTTCCTCATAATATTGAGTTAACACATGCAAAACTCTTAGAAAAAATGCCTGGCACACAGTCTATGCTCAAGAAATGGTAACTATACCACTTATTTTCACTACTATCCTCAATGAAATGGAGATTGTCATAAAAACTATACCCAGTTTTTTATTGTGAGTTTTCTGCTTGCAGTCTGGAGAATGTTTTCAGGAAGGATGATTTAAGGAGAAATGGCAATGCTCTTTGGATGAGCTTTTTATGGTCCTGGAAGCATTTCAACATGACCTTCCCAACACCATGGACTCATGTCACTCAGACACCAAGGGTGGGTGTCCGTGTAATAGCAGAAGCAGGGCATTCAAAGGGGAAGGGGGTGTGAGGGAGGCAGAGTATAATTAAAGGACATTGGTGCTGAGAAGTAAGCACAACAAACAAAACGGTATGGGCAAACATGCTTTGTGATCATTTCCCACCAGGGAGGCAATCGCAGGAGACTTAGATGACGCTTACCTCCCAGAAATTGAGGAATTCTTGGGCTAGAAATGGACTCGTGAGTGGAGTGTGCAAGCACCTGAGCCTAGGTAGCATATTCCTGATCCATTATAGATTGTACTTCTTTAGAAAGGGCCCCCAGAGAAGTCTGTGGATTATCCTCGAATTATTGCCTGCTCACCTTGTCTTCGTGTCCAGTAGAATTTTGTGGAAATGGTCATAGAATACCATCATTCTCCCTCTCTCCCCTTACCAGCCCTCTCTCCCCCATCTTTTAGCAAAGACTGTGAACTCACCCACTCTCTTCCATTCAAACAGATACAGGAGGGTCACCACTCAAAAAAGAATATGGTGTGCCCTGGGTCTTTGCTGGCTGCTGTCATTCCTGGTGGGATTGACCCCCATGTTTGGCTGGAACAAGAGAACACCCTCAGAGTTGTCCAGAAATGTGACCTTAATTCCTTGCGAATTCATCTCCGTCATGAGGATGGACTACATGGTCTACTTCAGCTTCTTCACTTGGATTCTCATCCCCCTAGCGGCCATGTGTGCCATTTATATTGACATCTTCTGTGTCATCCGGAACAGGCTCAGTCAGAATTCTTCAAGCTCCAAAGAGACAGGTGTATTTTATGGGCGGGAGTTCAAGACAGCCAAGTCTCTCTTTCTGGTTCTCTTTCTGTTTGTTTTGTCCTGGCTGCCTATATCCATCATCAACTGTATCATCCACTTTAAAGGGGAGGTGCCAACAGAGGTGGTCAACTTGGGTATCCTGCTGTCCCATGCGAACTCCATGATGAATCCTGTCATCTATGCTTTCAAAATAAAAAAGTTCAAGGAAACCTATTTCTTGATCCTCAAAGCCTGCATGACCTGCCAGCCCTCTGATTCCTTGGATTCAGATATTGAACGGATTTCTTAATAGTTACCCATGAAAAGTGACTGTCTGTCTCACTGGTCTTCAGATTCAATATCAACACACACTTCCTGTCCGATCCACCTGGGCCGAGGTCTTTCACATCTTCGATTCCATCTACTGATGTGGGGGTGGGGGGCGTTTGGCCGGCTGGCCCCAGGTGTACCTCTTCTACTACCCTCATCCTCAAATTTGATTTTTTTTTGTTTGTTTCTCCTCTCTAATTCAATTTGCTGATGACTGACTTGAGGAGAATGTTCTATTGTTAATATTGCCTGTGTTCCTCCTTCTCAAACAGAAGTCATGGAATCCGAAGGATACCTCACTGACTTACTAAAGGCCCCATTGGGGCTGCTTGCATACAGGATGGGGACACACTTCCACTCCAAGGTGGAAGTAAGGAGAGAACCCTGCTCTCGGCAGATGCCCGGGAGACGGTGGGAACTGAAGGAGGGAACTCAGTTGACGGGGGTGCTTAAACTACTGAATTCACCTGCAAATGTATTTGAATAAATAAAAGATGATAGCCACCTACAGTGTAGCTCTTTGATGAGGGCAAGGGTCACGTGGGGCTTGACGCTTACTTGCCACCTGGAACCATGTGACATGTTCACCTGTGTGAATCTTGGGCACCTCACCCTTTGCTTCAGAACACTCTGCTCCTTTTTTTAATCCAGGCTGATCAGAGAGCATTTGCCAACTTTATGATCCATTCATTGATTGAGAGAGAAAGAATGGTTCTCCCTGTAGAGCTAAGTCTTAATATTTCCTCTGGTGTTTCATTGTAATAGGAGTAGGGGGTAGGGGGCGGGGGAAGAGACAGTGCAGAGTTATTATCTGTTGAGCATTTTCTATGTACTAAACACTTTGCATATGTTATCTTTTTAGGTCTTGATAATCTTTAAGGGAGGTGCCACCAGTATTATTAGCTCCCTTTTGCAGACAAAAGCACTGAGGCACAGAGGGGTTAGGGAGCTTTTCTAGTCACACAAGTAACAAGGAGGAGAACCAGATCTCACTGCTGCCTGATGAGAGAACCTCGGCTCCGTACCGCCTGTTCTCAGACACGGAGCGGGACGTGGAGTTCCCCCAAAGTCCAAACTCTCAGGTTCACCTACTGTACAATTTGCTGTTTGTTTTTGCCTTAGTTCCTCTTGTTGATCTCTCATTACCCAGGACACCTGGCAGGGATAGAGTTTAAGTCTCATCATTCAAATACCGAGCGTAGCTCTGGAGATTCAAGGTGGTCTCTCTGGTGTGGTTTATCCAAATCTGCATCTGTGGACTCTCACTCCCAAGACAATAAAGACATGAACTCGCTGAGAGCAGCAAGATGGGGTTTTCAATTAAACCACGTCAGAGAGGACACGTGTACTGAAATCGATTAGAAAATTAATTCTTAGCCAGTCCGGAAAGCTTATCCTAACCCCTTCCTTAGGCTGGAGGCTGGTAACCATACTCATCCGGTTAACATTTCAGGGAAGGGGCCTTGTTCCTCCTCCCTTCACCCCAGGAAGAACCAACACATCTGGGAAGTGTGAGTGGGTCACCGCCCCCACCTGCCCACTTCCTGGCATTACTCACAATCATAACTTGGGGGCAGAAGACGAACACAGCCCCCCAGTTCCTGTGGGTCCCTGAGAGTGGGGGGTGGCTTTACTCCTGACACTCTCCCGTCCAACATTTTGGGGGCTGTTTTTCCGTAAGAATTCAACCCACTCCCCAGCTGTTTTCTTAGTGGCATTCCCTTGTTCGTTTCAAGGCTTCCCTCCTAACTAATGTGTGTGTTCAGTTCAAATGTCCCTTCATGACCAGGCCCTGGGTTTGCTCCGGGGTTGCCGGTGGCCCTGACCCACTGTCCTGTCCGAGAGCCACCTTGCCCAGCGGGCAGCTTGAGGGAAGTTCTGGTTAGTTTTCATTTTCTGGTGATCTTCCCACAATCTGCTTAATTTACAGTCTCGAACTTTGTTGCTCTTGCAACACTCAGCCCCAGTCCTTTTCGGAAATTTGATTTAAAGTGATCGTTTTCCTGAAAACAAAACGGCCGCCTGTCCTGGGTCCTCAGATGCCATCACAGCCACTCTAGCTCCTGAATCTCAGAAAAACGTTGCTTTCTTTTCTCCCTTTCTCCTCCTGCTCTCTCTCCTTTCTTTTTCTTCCTGATGGAATAGATTTTGGGGGGGGCGGGGGACGTGGCATTGTCAAATGGGCATCTCCAGAGCTAAGGTGTTCATCCTCCAGAAGAAGCCCTTAAAGCGAAAATGTTCTTTGGGGTGAATTCAAAACAAATGAACCGAGAATCATGGGTGAGGAGCTTGGGTTGCAGCGTGAGGTGCCCCCAGCTTTCAGGCTTTGAGATAACGTCACAGAACCTTCCTGACTCTTATCTCCTGGCTGGTTCCCTTCTGCTCAGCAGGAAAGGGTGGCTGTTGGGCTCTCATTCTAAAGGAATAAAGTGAAAAGACCGCCCCAACAAAACCGACAAAACCGAGGCCGCCTCCTCTGCCCACGTGTGATTTCACTGCAACAAAGATAGATGTTAAGTAGCTGGGTTTAATCACCCAATTTTAAAAAATCAAGTCAGCTATGGATATAAGCGAAGACCAACAGAGAAAAGCAAAGGCTATCTGTTCTGAGTTCACGGCCACAGGGGAGCCAGCGCCGTCCCTTGCGTCTTGGAGGAGACACAGAGGTGGACAGAGGAGTGTGCGCTGTGCTGGGAGAAAGGGCGGTTTCGGGGGGCCTGGCGGGGGGGCTGTTGTCCCGGGGAAGCTGCTGGCGGGCTGACTACAGGGGGCCTCCTGGGTGCTGGTAGCGGAGCCATTTGACTTCCTCTGGTGGGTGCGAAGACAGAAGCAGAACACAAACAAGGGGAGCCATCAGTTGTTACCAAGTCCTGGCCGTGCGGGGCTGATTGTTTACAGGGGTTGCTGTTTGGTGGTGTGGGCTATTGGCGGAGAGGACGGCCTGACTTCCTGCCAGTCTGACTTACAGGAGGCTGGCTTCCTGGGCCTCTTGCTGTAGATAAGGTGCTGGTTTCCTGAGCTGGTTGTGGGCCTGCTCATCTGCTCCCGACAGCGTCATGGTCCACCCCTCACCCACCCCCAGGGAGGCTTCGGCGTCCCCTCGGGGGCCAGGGAGGTTGGGGTCCTCCTTACTAGCCTTCCTCTCAGCTAAAGAAGAATTGGGCCTCCAAGCACAGTGGACAGACCAGGGGGATGGCCTCTAGCGATATGGGAACACTGGCAGGGCAAGGCACAGCTGCACACACGAGTGTGTACCAGTGAGGGGTGCGTGTGCAGGGCTCTGTGCCAGGTAGATTTATGTGGGATGGGACTGTCCATTCCTGTTTAGGGCTCTGCCAGGAAGCCCAGAATTTTCTCCGTTGCCCCATTTTATTCTGTAAGTTTATGTCCATGAATGGCATCCTGCCGATGAGGTACACTGTGCAGTGCAAGCCTAGACGCCATACAAGGCCACACAGCCTGGACACTGTACTTGGGTGCATGGCCCGGATGCTACATACAGGCACAGCGGCCCGGACACCGCACGTGCTCGGCCTGGACACCGTCGTACATGGGTGTCCATCCTGGACACCGCACGTGGGTGTACAACCTGGATACTGTATGTGGGTGCATAGCCTGGATTAACTGGTTGTTCCCTTTTCCCTGGTTTCTCCCAACAGGACAAAACCATCCTAAGCTCAAAGACACCTGTTTCCCTTAACCAGATCCAGGATTCCTGAGATCCCTGGGTACATCTCACCCTTCCAGCTGAAGGCTCGTTCCCACGCAGTCATGGGGTTCTTCATTCTGCTCTCCTTGACTGTCTTTTCAGGTAAGACATGGGGAAGGTCATCGTCCGCTCTCCCAGCTTCCCGGAGACCTGCATTTCCTTCTCCTCTCCTACTAAGTAGTTTGAACCACTGAAGGAGTGGGACGGGGAAATAAAAGGAGGAGAAAATAGTTCTTGTCCTTAGGTCTGATTAGAGGGCAGTGGGAAATTTGAAATCCTCAGCTTAAATGAGGGCTCTGTATTCTTTTAGTTTAAGTTCCTCTTTTCTTTCCTCTTGTCCCCTTAAAAGTGTCTGTGCAGATGCATGAGGATGGGACTTTCCTATTTCTGCCTGTTGCTGACTCAAAGACGAGTCTCTGAGCTCCGGGCTGGCCCTGGCTCTGCCGCCCTCCAGCCATGTGACCTTTGAGAGTTGCTGCATGTCTCTGGATCAGCGTCCCTACCTGTAAATTGAGCATCACACCACTTTCCTCGTGGGGTTGATATGAGGACAAACGATCATACAATATAAATTGATATCAAAGACACAAGCCTGCTTTGTAGGCTGGTCCTGCTCACCGTGAGCTATAGGGGAGGCAGCACTGGAGGGGGCCCGGGGCCCCCCTGGGGGCTGAGACCTGGACGGGCTGCTGCCCCCATCTCTCCTCCATGCCTGGACACTTCCTCAGCCACCATCCAGCTGGATGTGGCTTGCATGACTTCCTCATTGTGCAATATCTTGAGATGATAGAGGTCCCCATGCTGGGCTTGCAGGGAGGAAATAAGAAGTTCTTGGTCCCTAAGGACAGAGCCTGCCTCCCTGTTTTCAGCCCCATACGGCCAGCAGGAGCTCCCAGATCTTTCCACTTTCTTTTTCAGGGGCCAAGGTGGTGGGGCCGTAGCCCCGGGTTCCTCAAGCCTCCCACCGCTGCTTGGCGGGAGGCCTCTCAGTTCTTGCAGGGCAGGATCCACATTTTACCCACCCTTCGCCCCCGGGGAGGGAGACTTTTTTGCAGGGCGGCTGTGTTCATTTGCTAGGCCTGCTGTCACAGACTCTGCAGGCTGGGTGGCTTGGACAAGAGAACTTTATTTCCGTACAGTCTGGAGACTGCAAGTTCAAGATCAAGGTGTTGGCCAGTTTGGCCTCTGAGGCCTTTCTCCTTGGTTCACAGAGGGGCACCTTCTCACTGTCCTCGCATGGTCGTTCCCTCTGTCATGGGTCCTGATCTCCCTTTTTATAAGGACAACAGTCATGGTGGACTAGGGCCCATTCTATCAGCTTCTTTTCAACTTAATTGCCTCTTTAAAGTTCCCTCTTCCAAGTACAGTCCCATTCTGAGGTACTGGGGGTAGCATTTCAACGTATGAATTTTAGAGGGTGCTTCTCAGCCCATACCAGGTGCCACCCCTTACAGATGAAAATTAGCCTCCAATGCTTTAATTAATTTTCCTCCAGGAGGGTAGAAGCTGCAATGTGTTTAAAAGGACAGTGGTGTTTTCATGCGCGTGTTGTTTTTTTTTTAATGAATTTATTAGGGTGACATTAGTTAATAAAATTATATAGGTTTCCAGGGTACAAATCTATAATGCATGCTCTGTATGTTGTATTGTGTGTTCACCACCCCAGGCCAAATCTCCTTCCGTTACGATTTACCCCCCCTTTACCCTCTCCTCCCTCTTTGTGCATGTGTCCTTTGACAGAAGCCATGGTCATGGACAAAAAGGTCAAGGAAAACTTCGTGCTGGACACAGCGTCTGCGGTCTGCAGCTACGACGCCCACTACAAGGACCACCCGAAGTACTGGTGCCGAGGTTACTTCCGGGACTACTGCAATATCATCGCCTTTACACCCAACAGCACCGGCCGCGTGGCCCTAAGGGACACGGGAAGCCAGCTCATTGTCACTGTGTCCTGCCTGACCAGGGAGGACACGGGCTGGTACTGGTGCGGCATCCAGCGGGACTTTGCCCGGGATGACATGGACTTCACTGAGCTGGTTGTGACTGATAGCGGCGAAGCCCGCGCCAGTGACTTTTGGCCTGTGAAGGGTAAGGGGCCCGCCAGGGGTCTACCTGGGGGCACCCCACAGTGACGGCTGTTCATTGGTGTGGGAAATGCCCGCTGAAGCCAGTGAGCAGCAGCTCAGGCTCCCCCTAGAGTCAAACTGGTCAGCACCCGTCCTGTTCTCAGGGCCACGGTTTGTACCAGGAGGCTGCTGGTGCGTGTCAGTGGGCGGAGGGGTCTGCCCAAGCCAGTCTGTGGCTGCGGAGCAGGAGAGCAAAGCCAAGGATCTCCAGAGGCTCTCTCCTTCACCCTAAAGTATGGTGGTTGCCGGTGGTGCTGGGGGTTAACTTGGACTTGGGGGAAGCAGTGGGTGCCTGGGCCCCGGGGTGCTCCTGGAACCTCCCTCCCCCCACAGCCACCTTGTTCACAGACCCTGGGGAGGCCTGCAGGGCTGATGGTGCGAGAGCCTTGTGCGGCTGGCCAGAGAGCTGCTGAGCTTGTAATGAGCCCCGTGCTCCGTGGCCAGCCTGACAGGTCTAGAATCTTGAAGATGCATTTCTTGAGAGGTGACCACAGCAGCAAAAAGGGACCCCAAAATGTGACCTCAGAAACTGTCCACTTAGACGATTTCATAACTGACAGGGACAAACATCCTGGTCAAACTGGTCAGCACCCGTCCTGTTCTCAGGGCCACGGTTTGTACCAGGAGGCTGCTGGTGCGTGTCAGTGGGCGGAGGGGTCTGCCCAAGCCAGTCTGTGGCTGCGGAGCAGGAGAGCAAAGCCAAGGATCTCCAGAGGCTCACAGAATCCTTCTTTCCAATGACCTTCTTACATCAGAAAGCCTGCCTCCTGGGCAGAGAGCTCATGGAAAGCACGGGGCTTTCTCTCTTTTTCTCCCATGGTCCCTCGTTGTTTCCATTTCTAGAAGGGATGTCTTTGTCTGTCACAACCCAGAGCACCTGGCCAGCCCAAAAACAAACCAGGGGGCGGAAGGGGAGCTGTGGGCAGGTTCCTCCTGGCGCTAGAAAGAGGCTTGCTCACACTCGACCAACCTGCCGTGTGTCCCGCGGGCATTTGCTGCATGCGTGGCATCCTCCGCACCTGCAGTGTTTCTCCTTCGTGCGGTTCTGCTTTTATTTAACGGTGCAGTTGTGGGCTCAGGATGAGCAAGGTCCTACCTAAATGTGCTCTTTAGTTTAAAGGAAACACAGACCCCCTCCCCAGTCTTGGCAACATGGGTGCTCAGGAGGGAACTCCTCCCATGCAGTTTCGGCGGCTGTCAGAAGCACAAGGTAGCAATTGTGCCACCTGTTGATCAGCTCTGTAAGGACAGGGCTGGCTCTCTGGTGCCCTTCAGCCTGGGGCTCCCTAGCCAGGGGCCACTTCAGGCCGCACAGGGCTTTTGTGCCAGTCTGCAAAGGCGCACCCCACTCTTGGCGTGCGGAGCCTGGTCAGTGGCAGAGGGTGTGGCCCAGCGAGCAGAGTAGGGGCTGGATATCAGCGCCCACTTGTTCCCGCGGGCTTCACCCCGTGCGGGGGAGGGGCAGACCGCTGTCCTTGGTGTCTCTGCGTGACCCAGCATCAGTCTCTGAGGACTGAAGGAATGACGACGGAGGTGCAGAGATTAAGAGGCAAAGGGTGGGCCTGGTCAAGGGCCTGGATCGATAGTCAACAAATCCTTTCTGACGCAGAGCCCTCAGGGAACAAGAGCAGAAGCTGCAGGGCCTCCAGAGTCCTGCACCGGGCTGATCACTCCAGGTGAGCAGCAACTTGGGAGGCAAAGCCACTGGGCGGGGAGGGGGCGGGGAGGGGGCCCACAAGCCAGCATGACCGCGGACCTGCACCTACCACTTTCGGCTGCGTGTTGTTTCTCCCCCGCAGCTTGGGCTCTTCGGTGTGACCCTGTGGTTTCTCTCAAAAGGCTATAGTTGAGGGCTCTTGATCAAAAGCAGCAAAAATTCCCTGTCACTGTTTTCATGAAAAAGGAGAGTTCATCATAAGGAGAGAGCAGTGACTTGTAGATGCAAGGGCAGGAATGCTGGCCGCCCTCAGAGGCCGCCAGGGGCCTCAGCAGGCCTTTATCTGTGTCTCCTATCTGCTGCTCCGGGCGGGGTTTGCTTCGCCCCCTCCCCCGCGCTGCCCTTTGTGCTGCATTTTTTTTTTTCCTAACTCCTGAGTTCCTGTCCCCCCTTCAAAGGCCTGGCCAATCTGAGGCTGGATTCTTCTACTCAGGTCCCTGATTAGTTTCTGAGGAAGGGGCCCAGCCCAGCGCAGCCAGACACACCCCTCAGGCCCCAGGAAGTGGGGTCCAAGGGCTGGGCCCCCCCCCCCCTGCAACTGCTGGGGCAGAGGGGGCTGAGCTCAGCCGGCGGTGGGGCGGGGGCTCCCAAGCAGAGCGCCAAAGGCGGTTTCTTCCGAGGGATGTAAAACTGTCTGTGGTTCCTTGCAGGACATCTATCCTCATCTTCTGCGTGCTGGTCACGGGGGTGGGGATCATCTCCATCATCAGCCATTTGTTCAAAAGGAGGAGAAGTCAGAGAAGCAGGGGAGGTGAGCGGTAGCTGGGGGAGGGGGAGGCAAGGGCCAGGGGTCAGGGAGCAGCTTTCAAGTGAGGGAGTGAGCCTCTTCTTGTGGCCGGGACCCCGGGGATCCAGCACAGCTGGCTGGTAGCCTGCGGAGACTCTGCTTCTTGGTGGCCAAGGTACCGTGAGAGGTGACAGAGAGGGCACTGCGCCCTTCCTAAGTTGAGGGCTGTGTGGAGGAGGGAGGAGGGAGGCCCCGAGACAGCCACACGGGCACCACAATTTGGGAGGCAGTCCTACTCCTTGTGTGAAACATTTTGTTCACTTGGAGGGACTAGAAGCCGCGCCTCCCGTCAAAGGAGCTCGGGGCCCTTAGGTGAGCAGGCACAGAAAGGGCGCTCTGAGAAGGGTCAGCAGGGGAAGAGGACAGGCCCAAGAGCTGAGACCTTAGTCCCGGGTCCTGGGAGGAGCAGCCTTTAAGCTGGTGCCCCCTTCTGCCTCCGGGCGATTTCAGGTAAAGGCCTGAGTAGAAGCCAGAAAACCAGCCAAGCTTCTCCTGTGATCCCCACACCTCTGGTAGGTTTGTTCCCTGGTTCTTCTGCCCTGAGCTCTGTGCCCTTCATCCATCTGATCTTTAGGGCTCCCCGTTGCTAAGCAGAGAACAGGGACTCCCTTCAGGAGGGGCTATGAGGGGCTGCCCACCTTTCCTTTGGGGCGGCATCCAAGAAACTCAAGTCCCCAGGGCCACCACATGGGGATTCTGCCAGCTTCTCAAGTGGACCCAGGGTAGAAAGAACACCAGACACAAATGCCACTCTTTGGCCAATAGTTTTCCTTCCTTCCTTCTTTCCTTCCTTCCTTCCTTCCTTCCTTCCTTCCTTCCTTCCTTCCTTCCTTCCTTCCTTCCTCCTTCCTTTTTTAAATGCTCCGAAGCCACAGAAAAGCTTGAGCAATGGAAAGACTGTAGGTATAATTACAAACCAGACTCCAGCGTCCTCTGGCTATGAAAATGTAGAAAAACAACATTTCAGAGAACAGGAGAAACAAACCTGGAGACTCTTGTTAATGAAACGCAAGGGTCTGCGGCCAGAAGGATCTGAAACCCCAAGCTCAGGCCACAGGTCTCCTGCTGTCCCTGTGACAGTCAGGCCCCGGGGCCACAGCAGGAGCCCCGAGAAATGAGAGTACTGGCTTCCCCAGAATTCCTGGCCTTTTGTTCTCTGAGAGCTTGGAGAAGGGGGCAGGTGACAAAGCAACATCTTTCTGTTTTGCCCAAGGCATCCTCCCTTGGGACACAATCGTAGTCTGGGTTTTTGCAAAAACCATTGTCATTTAAAGCACGACATTTTAACAGCATGGGCGACAGTTTTACTTCTCGAGCTGCTTTCTCCTTCCGCACTTGAGGGCCCCATTCTCATGCTCCCCAGGATTTCTCATTCATACCTCCCATCCCTTCATCCAGTAAACAAGGACCACGCTAGATGCTGGGGATACAGAGATGGGCTAAGGAAATAGTATGTGTCTCCCTGGAGCTTATAGTACAGAAGGGGAAGGAGACAAGCTATCACACACACACATGCACACACACACAGAGTGAAATCGTCAACCCGAGCAAGGAGAGTAAAGGAGAGACGTGTGAAAGTGGTGGCAAGGGGCCCCAACCCTGTTCCTTTTTCGCTAGGAGCAGCACAGCCTGCTTCCTCTCACTCAGGTGGTGGCAGCGTGGCGGCCCGAATCAGGGCCCTGTTTGGCTTTGACAATCTCGGGTTCTGAAAGCGCCCAGAAACGTTCATACCCTGAAGCTCGGTGAGAGGCAAGTGCCAGCCCCAGGTGCTGAGCGTTCCTGCTGGCCCGGTCAATGAGCTTCCAAGCCGCGACCTCTGATTTCAGCCCTGAAAACAAACTGGGGTGTTCTATCCCCGGGAAGGCTTCATGAGAGAGACCTGGGCCGCAGGAGCGCTCCCCAGGGGTGGGCATTAGATCTCAACTCCACTCTTCCTTTTTGTTTCCAACAAAGTAAACAGCTCTTGGAAGGCCCTCCCGTGTGTGTCCTGACCCCAAAGGAAAATGGCTCAAACTGGACAGATGTGACTGAAGATTTCTTTTATTTAGTTTATAAGTAAAGTGAGGCTCCATAGAATCATCATGGCGACTGGCCCTCCTCGGCCGCTAGGTAAGAACAGCGGTAGCCAGAGCAGCTGCCACCCCAGGCCGTGCCTGAGCGAGGCTTGTCGGAGAACACACGAGGAGGGGAGAATCTTGGTTGGGGGCCCTGGAGAACACTTGTAGTTCATTTGTGAGCCAATAAATTTCTAACCAGTGTTGAATGAACTCCAAAGTATGACTAACTTCTCCCGGGATGTCACTGGAAAAGTATTTCTGGAAAAGTTTCTTTTTAAAGTACAATTTTCCAATTTACTCCTGAACTGGTATTAGAGGCTGTCCGACCCAAAACCAGGGAGATGGGCTAGATCGTTCTTCTCTGATTCTCTTGGTGAAAGACTGTCTCGTACGGGTAACTGCCACCAGGCGGGACGGACGATCGATGAGAAACCGAAGTGCGAACACTTAAATGAAATATTCATTCAGATCAGGAGCACAAATCAAGAGCAAGGCATCAGCTGCTAGGGGTGCAAGCGAGGTTATATTGCCATTAATGCCCAAATTACCAAAGCTCTTAGCTCCCTCTGCCTGTCTACACCCTCTCTCCCCAGGTCGCCCCTCTTCTGCTATTTCAGGGAGTTCCCAGGGTCTCCCCCTGCTGCCTCTGCTGCCGTCCTAGAAACCCTGCTCTTCTGGCCTCCTCCAGTAGGGCGCTGGCCCGTGTCCGTGCTGAGGATACTCAGGTGGCCCCTGGTCCGAGCGGGGCTGGGACAGGGCGTGCGGTCCTGGCTCGCTTCCGCACACGCCCTGCCCACGTAGGTCCGGGCCATCACAAAGCCTTCCGTGAGCACAGCTCCTCCAGTGTCCACCCTCAGGAACCCCTCTCTCCATCGGTGGGGAGCTCACGGCTAGTCAACAGCGTGATGGGAAGGGGAGGGAGTATGGACCTCGTCCCATTCCTGCATCTTCCGCGTTTCGGTACAGCCAGTCCCCCTTACTCCCAGAACCTCAGATCAAACGTCAAAAGGGCTGTCTTATCCCTCAGAGCCACCAAACAACCCCAATCCCTCACCTGCGGGCCACGCACTGAACTTACACGGAGGAACCACTAGCCCACGGGCTCTGCAATAGCAACCCAATCTGGGCTCGGCTAGGACCTCCTGCAGCACCAGGCAAGAGAATAGACAACCGTCTCCCGTGACACACGAAGCCATCGCTAGACGTCTTGGGAGATTCCTTATCTGGCTTGTTCGGCCTCTATGATCCAGGGTTCATAAGCCTTGCTTCCTCCCTTATCTACAAAGACCTTTTAATCTGTAGACACTCATTTCATTCTCCAGCAAGGCTAGTTGCACACTACTCTTCATAATGGGGAGACAAAAACAGAACTTTGTAAACACAGGGCTTGGCTGTTAGAAATGGGAAGCTTCGAGACAGCGGAGGGAAGACCAATGCATCTGCTATTTTGCATACACGTGGATGCCCGTGGGACAAGGCTGACCCCCTCCCCGAGCTTCCTGGTTCTGCCTGGAAAGCTGGTGTGGCTTCCATCCTTGTCCTCGGGGTTGGTGGAACTGTTGGGTGTCAGCCCAGAGTCTGGGAAGAGCTGAGAGTGAGCAAAGTACCCGCCCCCCCCCTCATCCCCGCCCCTGCCGCGAGCTCCTCCCACAGCCACCCTGAGGGAGGAGAGCGCTCCAGGGGCTCTGCTGCCCTCCTGGGGCGGCTGCTCAAAGGTGCCCTGGCCTCTTCCCAAGACTATTTCCCTGCCGGGCTTTCTGCTAGACCTGTGTGCTCCCACAGAGGGCCCACTCCTTGGTCAAGCCCCTGACTCCACTGTCTCCTCAAAAGCCAGCTGTCAGGAGCAGCTGCTCTGTCTCCGAGAAAACACGCTTCGTGCTCATGCCCTGCCTTCACCTGCCTGGCTTCCCTTCCCCTCTGCGGGCTCTGGAGCAGCGGGGGAGGGCGGGCGAAGCCCAGATGTCAGGAGCCTGAAGTCAGGGCATTTGGGTTTCAAGTTTGCCTGTGGTCTTGGGTAAATTATTTCAGCCCTTTGAACTTTAATTCCCTTACTTTGATTTTTAAAAACATTATTTAATGTATTTTTTGAAAAGGGGTTTGTGGAGGGTGGTCCCCGCTCCCCAAACCCGCTTCCTCCCCTGGGGACCGGCCCCCTTGGGGTGGCATTCCTCAGCGACACCCACACCCCATCAGAGGTGGGGCGACCTGTGTGGTGTGAGTCTGGGGGGAGGAGCTGGGTGCACCTCCTCTGCCCTTCTTCTTTCTTTTTTAATCTTTTGGGTGCAGCCTGCAAAGAGCACATGACCTTTTCGGAAACTCATGGGTGCAGGTGAGCACAGCTTTGGCTGTGCGGCAGGGGCGGGGTGGGGGGGCTGCCTCGCTCGGTGCAGCTCTGTCAACACGGGGTGCATCCATCTGAAGCCCACGTGTGAGCAGCTCCAGGGCACGCTGTCTTCTCCAGCGGGGACTAGGTTTATAATAAAGGTGAAATGTTGCTCTCTGTTTGCCGAGTCCTCTTTCTTATTTCTCAGTTGGTTCAGAATTCAGATGGGGAAAGGGAGCACTGGCAATCAGTCCCCTGAAGACCTCGATAGGTAAGGGAAGAGCATTAACATTACAACACGCTTTTAAGGGAAACCCTACGTCCTTCCATCTGCCCCTCAGTCCCTTCTTTATCAAGTGGTTGCGGGCGGACACTAAGACCAGTTGACAGTGTTTCCTTTGGGAGACACACTAACTGTAAACAAACACAAGTGTGCGTGTGCATGCACGCGCGCACGCGCACGCGCACACACACACACACACACAGGTATTTTCTACGTGAATAGAGAATATGCAGAATTCCGTTCAACAGCACACCCCTTTCATTCAACGATACCACTTGGAGGTCTTTTTTTTCTTACAACCTAAGCAAAGAGCTGCCTCCTCCGTTTTAATGGCTACATTGTACTCTGTCAACCAGTCTCTTCTCTATAGACACTGAGAGTTTCCTGAGCCTGCCCCTGTTTCAGAGAGTCGAGCATGATGGGTAAAAGTGCCAGCTCTGGAACCAGATGACCTGGTTCGAGTCCAAGTGCCACTACATTCTTGCAGGGTGGACTCGGGCAAGTTACTTCACTTTCTCTGTGCCTCCATTCCTGGATCTAAATGACAAGAATAATAACTGCAACCTGGTTTTGTGAGGATTCTGTAAATACATGCCAAACACTTAGATACCACTGAGAGTATCATAAGCCTCACTAAGGTTAGCCAATTCTATGACCGCTGTAATGAAAATTACATAGGTGTTGGGGAGGGAGGAATTTTCCTCTACCCTTCGACAGGAGACTATCGGAGAAAATCAAATTTAATTTTGTGCGCACGGGAACCCCATGTATGTGAGAGAGTCAGAGACCCCACATGCATGTGAGGCTCAGAAGCAGGAAGAGGAAATGAGGCATCTAAGGCATCCTGAGCGAAGAAGGTACAAGGAAGGGCTCCACAGGGCATTGAGGGCGGGCACGTCACTCGCAGGATGATAAGAAAAGCGGACATTCGGTAATTGGGTGTCTGCCCTGTCACAGAAGTAGGTCATAAAAAGTTATTTCTGGTGATAACTCTCGTTATAAGCAAGAGCTCTAATTTAAATTCTTTAAGGAAGAGGTAAAAGTTTCTCGTGAACCTGCAGGGTCTCCATTGACTTCAGCTCAAAATAATCCACACGCCAAAGTGGCACGCTTTAGGAACACCTGTTCTGGACCCCTCCCTAGGTGGCTTCCCACACGTTTCAGTGGGATAAATTCCTAGAGGGGGAATTTCAAGCATTGTGAGTAGGTGCCAAGTTGCCTTCTGTGGTGGTTGTGCCAACTTGCTCTCTGCTCAGTGATGCGTGTGTGTGGGTCCTCCACAGTCTCGCCCACAGTTCGTTAGCAAACACTGTGAAATTTGCTAATCTTGGAAAATATCTAATTGTAGTTCTCATCACTATTTATCTTACGATGAAATGATTAGTTGACTATCTCTTCGTATGTGTAACAGCCATTTATATTTCCTGTACTGTGAATCCCCAAAACTTCTCCTTTGCCCCCCTCTTTTTTATTGATCGTTGAGGAGCTCTTACTATACTAAGAAAATCAGCCCTTTGTCAATGACATGCTTTGCAAATATTCCCAGTCTTTTCCTTTGTCTCCTTTGTCTTTGAATGGTATTTCCTAAGTCAAGTTAATCAATCTTTTCTGGTTTCTGGGCTTTGTGTCATACATTCAAAAGACATGCTTCATTCTGAGATTATTTTTTAGATTCTTTCATATTTTCTTCTAGTACTTTAATGATTTTTTTACAGTTAAAATTTTGACACATCTGGAATTGATTTTTATATGAGGAGCGAGTGAGAAATAGGTCCAATTATATTTTCATCTACATGGCTACCAGCTTGTCTCAATATCATTTGTTGAATAAACCATTCCCCCAAATGATCTGAGATGTGATCTTCATCATATTCTGAATTTCCTCATGCATTTGGTCTATTTCTGGTCTTTTTATTCTATTCCATTGATTTATTTATTCATGTACTATTAACACATCATTTTAATTAGTCTTAATATGCTTAATAAAACAGTACTTTCAGTTAACCATTGGGGTTAGGTTTCCCATATTACTTTTACCTGTTTGCTTATTTTTATGAATTTTCCTGGATTTGCTTTTTTGGTTATTATTAACATAGGAATTTTAGAGTAATCTTGCTGAGTAAAAAAATAATCTTATTGGTATTTTTACTGGGATCGTGTATGGAATTATCCATTGGGATTTTGCGGGGGGGATCGATAGTTAGATTAATCTTTAGTTCCCATGTAGTATTGTTACACATATCTCATGCTATTGGAAGGAGATGAACATCCACATCTGAATAGTGCTTTATGCTGCAGGAAACTTCTGTTTGTGTGGAACTCTGGGATATTTAGAGGGTGTATGTATATTATATCTCATGTATTCTCACACTAAAAGGTGTTTTCAGGTCTGTCTAAATGAATGTAGCCAGTTAGCGGTAGCCACATCAGTCCCGAACTTGAGTACCATCACTTCTGCTGGTCTCTTCTGGCTGGGGATGAGCTCTGGAATTTTGGCCCCAATATTTGCAGGTAACAGGGACACATGATGAAGAAGGAGCCGACATTGCACAGGGTTTGATTTTATTTGTAATTCTTGCTAGATTGTTCATTTGGTTGACTCCAAGTTGATCGACGACACTAAGTGAACACTCTCGGTGCACTGAGTCTGGACCGCACACTTTGGAAGGGGACAAAGGGAGGCAGGCTTGGCCTTCGGGGGGCTAATGTGCTGTCAGTCCAAGTGGGAAGGCCAGCAATCTTTTCTTGGGCCAAGAAAAGACTGATCTGGGTCACTAAACTGCTCACTAGGATTGCCAGATCATACCCAGACAGCTCCATCTGCAGTTCCACCCAGACTGTGGTCCAAAATTTCTAAAAACAGAAAGCGATGTAGGAAGATGGAGCTGATGCAAGAGGAATGGGATCCAAGCCTTATTGGAAATTCAGGGTGAGCTTGTCACACTTGAATCTGAGCATAGACAACAGAGTTTGAGTCCGCGGAATTGCTTGCACTCCAGTGGTCCCTCGTTTCTTTCAAGGTTTTGAAATCCATGCTGGCAGAGTTTCCATCCTCCCGGGGGGTTGAAAACTACAGAGGAAAGAGGAGAAGGAAGGAGCTAATTCAGTTTGGAGGAATGTGTGTCTTTAGAAGCAAGGGTGTCTATAGAATCAAGGTCCTCTTTAGAAGCAACTTGAAAGACTTGAAGACCCAAAGGCAGCAGAAGAACCCTGTGAAGTGCTTGCCCAGCATCCAGAAAGCAATCCCTAGTCTAGCGGATAAGGCATAGCATAGAGGGAAATCCCAATGACAGCAGTTTCCAGGGGCACGGAAACAGCATGGTCATCTTACCTTGGCAAGAGAATCTGAGTGAGAATCCAGAGCCTGGGGACTTGAGTGGCCTGTCACAAGTGCCAGGAAGAAAAGGGACAAGTCTCACTGATGGGGTCTGGAGGAATTGGAAGCCTCTCCCCTCAGTCTTGGGTGAAGGGGTGGGTGGGAGGAGATGTCGTAGGTGGGAAAGGAGGAGGGTCAAGAGGGTAGGTGAGAAGTGGAGGGATTTGAACCTGCTGTCTGCAGAGAAGGTGGGCTGAGCAGGCTTTACCCGCTCCTTTCTATTCTCCACTCAAGGCTAACTCCATTCTCAATGGCGAAAAGGAAGTGTTGCCCCCTCTCCCAGAGGCCACTTACATTTCCTGTAGCTCTTTATGACAAGGAAGACAACCGCCACCAATAGCAGTGTCAGCAGAATCCCAGCAAGAAAGGCTAAGACCAAATGAAGTTCTTTTCTGTGTGGCAAAGAAAGGGAGCAGGTGACTTTTTGGGCTCTTTGAAGGCTTTTCCTAAAGACCTGAGTGTAACATGTCCCTCCTATGGGTAAACCTCTGAAACAGCCTTCACACTTGCCATTGGTCTTCAACTTCTTGGTTTCAGGTTTCAGATCTGTTTGAGGCCTCAGTGAAAGCTGTGGTCTCTCTTTCCCCTCTAGAAGTTCTTGAACTATTCCAAAAAATTGAAGAGGAGGAAAGGCTACCAAACTCATTTTACAAGACCAGCAATACAAGGTATCAAAGCCAGACAAAAACACTCCAAAAAAATAGAGAGAAAGAGAAAAAAGAAAATTATAGGCCATTAACATAGATGTAAAAATCCTCTACAAAATACCAGTAAACAGATTTCAGCAATATGTTGAAAAGATTATATACCATGATCAAGTGGGATTTATTCCTGGGATGCAAGGCTGGTTCAGTATCTGCAAATCAGTTAATGTGATATACCACAGAAACAAAATAAAAAAAAGTCATATGATTATATCAATAGATACAGAAAAAGCATTGGACAAAATCCAACATCATTCATGATAAAAACTCTCAGCAAAGTGGAAATAGAGGAAGCATACTTTAACATCATAAAGGCCATATATGACAAACCCACTGATGACATCATCAATGGTAGAAACCTAAAAACTTTTTCTCTAAGATCAGCTATAAGACAAGGATGTCCACTTTCACCACTTTTATTTAACATAGTAGTGGAAGACCTAGCCACAATAATGAGACCAAAAAAAAAAAAAAAGAAAGAAAGAAAGAAAAAGAAAAGAAAAGAAAGAAAGAAAAGGCATCCAAATTGGAAAGGAAGAAGTAAAACTGTCATTATTTGCAGATGACTATATAGAGAAAAACTCTAAAAAATTCACCAAAAAACTATCACAATAAATGAACTCAGTAAATAGAAGGATATCAAATTAATATTCACTAATTGGTTGTATTTTTACACACCACTAACAAACTATCAGAAAGAGAAATTAAGAAAATCCCATTTACAATCGCATCAACGAGAACGAAATATCTAGGAATAAATTCAACCAAGGAGGCAAAAGACCTGTACTCAGAAACTATAAGACATTGATTGAAGAAAGAAATTGAAGAAGACACAAATAAATGAAAGGCCATACTATACTCATGGATAGGAAAAATTAACATTGTTAAAATATCCACATTATCCAAAACAACCTACAGATTCAATGCAATCCTTATGAAAATACCAATGGTGTTTTTTCACAGAACGAGAACAAATAATCCTAAAATTTATATGGAACCACAAAAGACCCTAAATAGCCAAAGCCACCTTGAGAAAGAAGAGCAAAGTTGAAGATATCACAATACTTGATATTAAACTATATTACAAATCCATACTAATTTAAACAGCATGGCCCTAGCATAAAAATAGACATATAGAACAAACACAGAACAGAATAGAGAGCCAAGAAACAATCCCATGCCTATATGGTCAATTAATCTATGACAAAGGAAAAAAGACTATATAGTGGGGTAAAGACAGTTTCTTCAACAAATAATGTTTGGAAAACTGGACAGACACAGGCAAAAGAATGAAACTGGATTATTTTCTTATACCATATACTAGATTAAACTAAAAATGGATTAAAGACTTAAATGTAAGTCTCAAAACCATAAAATTCCAAGAAGAAAACATAGGAAGTAGACTCTTTGACATTGCTCTTAGTAATATCTTTTTGCATATGTCCCCTCAGGCAAGGGAAACAAACAAAAAAACAAGTGGGACTACATCAAACTAAAAAGTTTTTGCACAGAGAGAAATCCATTAAAAAATAACAATGAAAAGACAACCTACTGAATGGGAGAACATATTATATTCACCAATGATACATCTGATTAAGGGTTAATATCCAAAATATATAAGAAACTCATACAATTTAACATGAAGAAAATTGGGCAGAGGACCTAAATAGACATTTCTCCAAAGAGGACATACAGATAGTCAATAGATATATGAAAATATGCTCAACATCAGGGAAATTCACATTAAAACCACAATGAAATACCACCTTACACCTGTCAGAATGGCCATCATCAATAAATCCACAAATAAGTGTTGGGGAGGATGTGGACAAAAGGGAACCCTCACACACGTTCAGTGGGACGGTAAATTGGTGCAGCCACTAGGAAAAAGGGTACAGAAGTTCCTCAAAAAACTAAAAATAAAATTGCCTTATGACCCAGTGATTCTATTTCTGGGTATTTATTTGAAGAAACCCAAAACACTAATTTGGAGAGACATATGTACCCCTATGTTCAGCATTATTTACAGTAGCCAAGATACGGAAGCAACCTAAGTGTCTGCCAATAGATGAATGGATAAAGAAGACGTGACATATATACACCTCTGAGAAAACCTGGAAAGGAGGGGTAGTGGAGGGATCAACTGTGATCTCAAAATAAGAGCCGCAACAATGAGAGAGACACAGCCGTGGGCAGGTGATTATATAATGGAATATTAGTCATAAAAAAGAATGGAATCTTGCCATTTGCAACAATGTGGATGGACCTAGAGGGTAGTGTGCCAAGTAAAGTAAGTCAGACAGAGGCAGCAAAATAGCATATGTTTTCACTTAAATGTGAAATCAAAAAAATAAAAAAAGCCCAAAATAAATTAACAAACAAAACAGAAACAAACTCATAGATACAGAGAACAAATGGATGGTTGCCAGAGGGGAGGGGGGTTGACAGAATGTGTTGTAAGTTACATAAATGTTGAACACTGTGTTGTACGCCTGAAACTAATACAATATAGTATGTCAACTGTAATTTTAAATAATGTTCATCAGTGGCCGCATACTGCAGATTTTATTTATAAACTTAGGAGACTCATGGATCTCTTGAGATTTGGGGGTCTCTAGGCTAAGAAAAACACTATAAGGTTAAAAAACTGATTTAGTTCTTCCACTGTTTCTGGCCCCTTCTCCCCAGACGTCCCTCACCAAGTCCATAAGTCCAAGCTGTCAACACAAAATCAAGGACCACATGGTTCTCAGGCTGGCACTCAATCCACTGAGCCAATGTACCATGCGGTATAAGATGAAATGGGTGTGAGAACGGTCACTTACTTGGGGTAGTTGCAGAGACAGGGAGCAGCAGTAGTTGTTGGAGCTACTGTGGTTGGTTTGTCTATGAGAGAACATGAAGGGGGTTAGTGTATCTGCCACTTTCCATGCATCTTTCCAGCTTAAGCGTCCCAGGTGCCTTCTCCGCTCCAAGCCCCCAGTGGAGATTAATGTTGGGGGCTAGAACTTGACAAGCAGAGAGAATGGCGTTCCTCAGACGTTCGTCCTGAATCCTTTAACGTGGAAATTGGAATCAGGACTTACAAAACCATCAGCTATACAAATGGAGGAAAAGCCTAGTGTTTCTATAGCCCCATATGTCCCTTTGATAAAAACATCTGTGTTTCCCTCAAAGATTTTAACAGGACTCCTAGGGAGATATGCTCCCTTGGCTTCAAGCAGAGAATTGATCTCAATGCCAGGGAGTCAAGCTCCCAAAGTTGATTCCAGAACTATTGTTTCCCAAGATCCTTGGGGATCTGACCTTGCTGCTTTTTAGATTTGTTCATTTGTTTGCAGGGAAGTAAAAGGCAGCTGCAGTGAGCTTTCCCAGTCCTGCACCGTAAATGGGGTGGATGGGAAGGGAAGTGAACTAGATTTCCCCAAACCACCCAGCTGGCCTAATACCAAGCACAGAGACACCCTTAATTCAAGTCTGGAGGATCAGTTCCCTCCGATTCCCTTTTTCACTCTTCATCACGGAGGTCTGACTCTTCCAACTTCAGAAATGTCTCATCACAGTCTACTTTCCAGTTGCCCCAGCTCATTTTAGCTCAGCGGTGAGGCGGTTAATGGTTTCTGTCGTGAACTTACTGGTGCTGGGGCCGGTTTTGGATTGACCTCCTCCCATACTGTCTTCCCTTGAAAATGAAGAAGGTACCTCGGAGAAAGCCTGGAAAGGAGAGGCCAGGGAAGAGTCAACTGTGGTCTCCGTTTAAGAGCAGTAACAATGAGAGAGAAGCAAGTCATGGGCAGGCATGTTAACGAGGTCATGGATCACAGGCTACGTGGACTGCTAGCCACAGCTCAGCATCCCGTCGTTGGCTTTGCGGGTCTAGATGTGTGACCTCATCAAGGAACCTGGAATTGACTGATTAATCCAGAACTCACTCCCACCAACCAACTCACAGGAGACGGATGTATAAACCGAAATGGCGTAAGGAACATGTTGGTGTAACAAGTCGCATTCTATCAGAACATATAAGGCCAATGAAAACCACGACTTTGCTCGGTAAGCAGTGAATTGAAGGCAGGCTGGGAGGAGGCGAGTGGACATTTTTCAATATTGACTGTCATCTAGGTGTGAGGCATCCACCTCCCTCTTCCCCGGTCGGACCGAGGGAACTTGGACAAATTTGCTGTTGGAGGTCCTACCTCTGGCTCCATCAGATGCTTCTGTTCACATACTGTCTTTTTGAGTAGGTCCATGTCCTTGTCTAGGCTATGGTTCTAGCCTATATCTTCCCCTTTTTATTTATTTATTCGTACCAAAAAGTATAAAGTACTGAAAAGCAGAAAAGTAAAATCATCCAAGCTCCCACTACCCATGGTTAATATTTTAGAGTATTTCCTTTTAGCTGTACGTCCATGAATTTTAAATTTTTTTGTTTTTTTGTTTTCAGTTTTATGGAGGTATAATTGACATATCACATTGTGTTAGTTTAAGGTATACAAATTAATGATTTGATATACATATATATCACAAGGATCACCACCATAAGTTAGTTACAATTTGTTTCTTGTGATGAGAGCGTTTAAGATCTATTTTCCTAGCAATTTTCAAATATGCAGCGCAGCAGTAACTATAATCATCACATTGCACGTTACGTCTGAGGACTTCCTGGTCTTACAATGGGAAGCCTTTACCTCTGACCTCCTTTATACCGCCCCCCCTACCCCCCGTCTCTGGCATCTGTTCTGTGAGTCTGATTTGTAAAGATTCCACATATAAGTGAGACAGTATTTGTCTGCCATGCATTTTTAAAAGAATAGTTGAGATATTTCTTCATCCATCCTTTAAAAAACAACAACAACAACACTTTTTGTCACAGGCACTCCCCCCGCCACTAAAAATTTCCTGTATGAGTTTTTCGTGGCGACAAGGCCCTCTGCTACAGCTCTGTACTACAGCTTGCTGAGCCAGTTCTCTGCCTGTTCATAAATGCTTCCACTTGTATTATTATTTCTATTTTATTACTTTATAATACAATAAAACAACTCTAGGAGACCACACTTTTATTTCATATTTAAGTAAACCCACGATAAAAATGTTTGGCTCTGCTCTATCGTTGTATTTTCAGGTAATTTATTCAGACAATGAATGCCATCAATTAGTTAACTGTCCAGCTCTCAAAAGCGAATCAATTTCCAAGTCCTTGGACATGGGGTGTGTTGGGAGCAGGACCTCATTGCCATGGACCAGTAGCAACAGCAACTTTATATCAAGTGTCTTCCAACTCGACCAAATCTTTTTAGATCACACATGCAGGACAATAAAAAAGGCACCAACAGGGAAACTGTGTGAGAACTCTGACCCAGGAGAACAGGAAGCCACCGTGTGTAGCAGAATCAGCAGTGGTAATGATTTTTCTGGCACTTTTTGTTTCTTTTTTTCATTTAAAAGTTAACAATGCTCTTTGTAAGGCACCATAAAATATTTATATAGCATTTTAAATATACCGAAATACGTATTCGTACTAAATAAACAGAGTATGAACTTGTCCTATTAACCTACACTAGACCTACCCCGGGGAGGTGGAAAAGAGGATCATAGGTTTCTGTAAAATCTTAATCTTCACAACAGTGGCTCTGCATTTGCAACTGTCCCAAAGAAGGTTACCACAGCCACCTTAAAAAAAGTCAGGCCACTGCACCCTGAAAGGCAAAACCATTACCCAATGCCACAGGGCAATAGCTACTTACAAATCCAGGCAGAGAAAAGAAGGAAACACATTATCTTTGGGGGAAAAAAAAAACATTGTACACATTTGACAGAAGCAGAAATTAAAATAGAGACAACGCTACATATGCTTTTTCACGTTTTGTCCGGCACCACAGAATCTTCCCAGTTGCTTTTAAATTCACCAACTCAATGCAGACATTCAAAGCCAACCCTCTCCCCACCAAAGAAAGTTTAAAAGACAAAAAATGATAGAAACTACTAACAGTTAGATGACATTTCCCTTTGGGTGAATGATTATTTCATCTAGATTAAAAGCAGGGGTAAATCCATTTACCTTTTAAGAAAAGGTCCAGTCATGAGAAGGCACTGTCTAAAGCTGAACTTGCGCTTGCTTCCGCAGCTACTCTTATTTGTCAAAAATGACGAAGTAAGTACTATCACTGTCATGGCCTCATGAAACTGTGTTGCAAATCAATGAAACTCAAGAGTAGACTTCCTCTTTGAGGCCAACACTGTACTTTTTTAATCCCATAAACAGAGAACTTCTTTTGTATCTTTTGAAACATGAACATCAGAGCACCAGGGATAAGACAAACTTCTTTCTAATTAAGTACATGTTGAGTATTTAATCACATGCCAGATACTGTGGGGTGCGGGGGAGAGGTGGTCAGCAGTATGACATGATCATTGTCACCACGCATCTTACAGTGTCTCTTATTCTAACCACGGAGATAAGGTGAATTAAAAAAACTGAACAGTAGCCCTAAGAGTCAAGTGCGACCCTGGCCGGCGGCTCTGTTGGCTGGAGCGCCGTCCGATACACGAAAAGCCGGTGGGTTGATCCTCAGTCAGGGCACATCCCCATACCTAGGTTTTGGGTTCGATCCCCAATCGGGGCACGTACAGGAGGCAACCAATTCTCTCCTCCCCCTTCCTCTCTCTCTCCAACCAATAAGCATGTCCTCAGGTGAGGATTAAAAAAAAAGATGTAAGTGACAGCTGTGCAGACTTGATGTTAATAACATGGAGAGCCTTTCAGAGAGAAGGCCGATCACTTATAAACCTTTATTTGTAAAACAGTATTAATAAATATGCTCATGAAATAAACATGCTGGGTCACGCAGCAGGCTGGATGCTGAGGGTAATTCTGAGAAGCTCCTCACGGGGCCTACCATCTAACCGAGAAGAGACCTGGCAAGCAAGCGAAGGCGGGTGACGGGTCCTGTAACTGCCATGAAGAAAAGAGGCAGGACGTCATCCACGCCTGAGAGTGAATGGGAGAATGTCTTTGGATAAACAGGTCATCGGGGAAGGACTGCGAGGAGCAGACATGGACACGACAACCAGGGCACAGGACAGAGTTGGCCAGGCAGAGAGCCCGGGGAAGACAGAGGACAGGAAGGGCTAGCCGAGGGTGCGGCATCAGAGGAGGCTGCGTGCAGACAGCCCGGGCGCTGGGGCCTGGGGCTCGGATGGGGCTCGGACGGAGGGAGAAAGGAGAAAGTGTGTGAGGAGTGCCCCAGGCCCAGGACTGGCTGCTGATGTCCAAGTGATGTATTTCTGAAATATCAGCACCGTTCCAGGGTGGAGCATTAGTAAAGGGTGGGAGATAAAACTCAGTTCCATAGGTGGATTCCAGCCCGGTTGTTGAAGGTCTTTGAATCCAAGCAAGGAATATATTTTAAGTGTTAATAAGGAACCACTAAAGGTTTCTGAATTGGGATTTAATAAACATGGCCTTTAAGGAAGATTATACCACGTCACATAAGAGAAACTACAGGTAGAGAAAGAGGTGCAGAAATCGGCCAGGAGAGCAGGGCAGTGTTTTAGGTATTTAACAAAGGCATGAGCGGAAGGAACGGGGAGGGACCCGTGGGAAACCTGTCATAGACTAGAAATCATAGGACTGGGGACCTGGGTAAAGGGAAGGAAATAGCAGGAAGGAGTCAACCACCACATCAATATTTTTTAATCTCAGGGGTGGAGAGAATTCCTTTTTTCACTCACTCCACAGTGGACACCTATTTTGTGCCACGTGTAAGTTCTGAGGATGTGACGGTAAGTAGAAAATGGCCTTTTCCTTCCTTTGTGGAACCTGTGGATAGTGAAGGAGGCCGCGGCCACACAAAGAAATGGCGGGTGGTGGCAGTTCCCTTGGCTGTGAAGGGGGAGGGCCCCGTCTGTGTGTGTCTGCGACACAGGGAGCCAGGGTCGGCGTCCTGGAGGACACAGGCCGAAATCGGAGGTGCCAGTTGGGGTTTCATTAGGCCAAAAGTGATGGGGGGTGGCGGGGGCGGGAGCGGGGGAGGTTGGTGATGATCGCAGGGAACGGAACATTAACACTCCAAAGCCCTGAGTCAGAAAGTCCAAACAAACTAGTGTGATAGAGAGTTTTTCAAGTACAGGAGTGCGCGAGGGTGACGCAGGCTGTCGGGGCATGAAGCTGAAGGAGGAGGAAGGGGCCAGTTCCCTCAGAGATTTTGTCTTTTTAGAAGAGAAGTGGGTTATCTATGCCAAAACGAGGGTGACAGGATGGAACTTGCAGTCTGGATCACTAAAACCGGGGGAGAGAAGAGATTGGAAGACAGCCAGGGTAGCGACGGAAGTCTGGCTGAGGGATTACCGCCGTGATCCAGCTGAGGGATACGAGGCGCCTGGACCAGCAGTGGGCAGGTGAAGGGATAGAAAGTCATCTCAGAGACATTTAGAAGAGTGGTAGCAAAATAAGGGAGGAAAAAACGTCACTGTGGTCAAAGATGTCCTCGAAGGTCCGAAGGAGGAAGAGGAGCCAGGGAAGGAAATGTCAGATGCTCAAGATTTAGAGTGAGGATTAATGAATAAATCAGACATTTACTGTGCACGCACGCACAATGTCACGCGCTGGAGTACATTTCAGTGTAATGAAATGCTGTAGATGCGATGTTGGGCGTCACTACAGGATGGAGTGGGACCCAAAAGAGAAAGAGCGCAGGTTACCCAATAAGGGGGAGGAGAGTGGGTGTCAAAAAACGCATCAGGAAGATGGCTTTTGATTTGTATCTTGAAAGATGAATCACACCTTCTAGGCAGAGGAACAAGATGAGCAAACATATGCTTTGTCATGTACAGGGAAATGGAAATATTATTTCACCATTGCTGGTGCTATGGGGTGTGAGATTGGGTTGGGGATGGGAAATAGAAGAGGAAGAAAAGGCTGGAGAGGAGGGCAAGACCCTAAACGAACTTGACCTTAGAGGCAACAGAGAGATTACTGAAGAGGATAACATGATCACATTTGGGCTTACGCAACCTTGGGTAGGAGGAACTGGTGAGGGCCATCAGTGGGTTGTTCAGTATGGCAGAGTTGCAGATGAGGAGAGCAGGGGTGATGTGATCAGAGGCTGTGGCCATGGGAAAGAAGAGGCAGGCAGAGTGATGAATGTACTCATTTATTAGCTGTGAGAGAAAGGCAAGGGAGGGAGAGGACTCAGGATACCTCGCAGCTTTCTGCATTGTCTCATTGGCTAATAGTGAGTATATGGAAGAAGGGGATGTAATGGGCTTGCTTTTGGACACAGTGAATTTAGGATGCCTGTGAAACATTCTGCTAGCAATGTAGTGAGGGTACTTGGTTGCACAGGTTTGGAGCTCATGAAAGAGACCTAGATTTTTGTGGTAGACAGCACTGGTGCTTGCCCATTACCAGTTGTTGGATTCCTTTTGTCACAGAACCTCACTTGTGGCTGGGCGGGGCCACATGACAAATTTTGCCCAATAGACTATGAATAAAAGTCATCGATATCCCTTCTAGTTGAATCACTTAATTGCTGAAGCAAGACCCCCTCAGACCCCTTCCCCCACAGGGTGAGCATGGAGATTTGTGATGAAGAGGTGAGGTTGAAAGCTCTGAAGCTGGGTCACTGAGTTACCTTATAGGGGACAGCTTCTCTTGAGGGTTACCAGAACCTGGGGTAAATTCTTTATGAGCAAGAAATAACCTCTCTCCATGTTTCTCTGCTGAGATTTTTGGGATAGGTTCTTAAGGCACTTGTCTAACCTATCCTGCTTAATACAACTGGAGACACAGATTGGAAAGTCATCAGCATACACAGGACAGTAGAAGCCAAGGGAATGGACAAAATCATCAAGGTACAATGCGTAGAATGAGAATAAAAATCCCCAGTCTAGAATTCTGAGGAACACCAACTTTTAAGATGGAGGCAAAAAACAAAAGAGGAGTCACCTGAGGAAATGGAGAGGGAACAGTTGCAGTGAACAAATGCTATCTGATGCCAGGGAGGAAAGAAAGGAAGGAAAAGTTGTGGCCAGTATTGTCAGAGGCTGCTGTGGGAGGTCCAGGCAGACAAGGACTGGGAAGAGCTGATTGGATTTGGAAATGGAAAAATCATAACCTCTGCTGCTAAAACAGCTTGTTTGGTAGTGATGGGGAGTAAGACTTCAAGGGGATGAAGAGTGAATGCGAAAACTCCATACAGGAGAGAAATCAAGATGGCGGAGGAGTGAACGGAAGTCACACTGACCTCCTCCCAGGACCAATCTGGAATTACAACTAAGTTGCGGAGAAATCGCCTGAAACAAACAACTGAACAATAATGAGAGAGGAGCCTTATAACCTTGGACAGACAGGAGAATCAGCTTTAACACAACCTAACTGGTAAGGAGTGCGGTAGAGACTTGAGGAGGCAGGCGGGACACCCACAGGCGGTAGAACCAGATGGATATTGATATGGCCAGTTGGATCCCCCTGAGAAGAGCACGGTCTAAACCATAAGCAGGGATCTCCAGCCTGCAGCACCAGAGGCCAAAAAGTACACAGATAACAGCTAGTTGCAAAAAGTGGCAGGGCTGCTCTCTGCCAGAGACAGGCTGCTGGAGACTCAAAGAGCCATTTAAAGGGCCAATGCATAACTTTTTATTTGCAGCCACTTACCCTGGTCTCCGGCAAAGGCGGGCGCAGAGTGGGCTGGAGACGCCTGAGGAGAGACTGGGGAAGGAAGCTTTGGGGAGAGAACTGAGACAGTGGCTGGCGGGATCCTGGTGCTGACTCATCCTCCATGCAGCAGCAGCCATCTTGTTCAGGCAGAGACCACTCCCCTGAGCAGCAACAGCATGAGAGGACACACCAGCCCCGCCCCCAGGAGGGACTCTGCCCTGGCCTGGTGGTGCTAAAGCCTTACAACTGAATACTGAGTGGCATCAAGAGATAGTAGATCCTTGGCTAAAGGAGGCGCAGAGTGGTCTAGAGGCACTTGAGGAGAAACTGGGGATGGAGGCTTTGGGGAGACGACAGAGAGAGTAGCTGGCGGAATCCCAGTGCTGATTCCTCCCCCATTTCGGCAGCAGCCATCTGGCTCAGGCAGACCACTCCCATAGTGGCAGCATGAGAGGACCCAATAACCCCACCCCCAGGAGGGACTCTGCCCCACCCTGTGGTGTCTAAGCCAGCCCGCTGAGTGCAGAGTGACTAGATTAACAGCTGAAGGAGACAGCCACATACAGCAGATTCCTGGGAAGTCTCAAACAGACTGCCTAAGGCCAGACAGGGTCAACATCTGACATCATCAGAGGCAGATCCAGAAAGAAAAAACAGCAGCCTCCTACCATAGAAATTCATACCACAAAGTCAGGAAATCAAGAGATCAGTTTAAGAGGCAGAAGCAAAAAAGAAGAGTCTCACAAATAAAGGGAAGACAAAGAAACACCCCCCAATCAAAGGGAAAGGAGGAATCCCCAGAAAGAGAACTAAATGAAATAGAGGCAAGTACATTATCAGATATTGAGTTCAAAACAACGGTCCGAAGGAAGCTCAATGAGCTCAGTGAGCTCAGAGAGAATTACAAGAAACTACCCGGAAACTACAAGGAACTTACTGCAAACTCTATCAGCATGAAAAAGGACATCAAATCTGTCAACGAGAGACAAGAGGAAATGAAGAATACAATTTCTGCACTAAAGAACACAGTAGAAGGAACCAAAAGCAGGCTAGATGAAGCAGAGCAGCAAACCAGCGAGCTGGAGGATAAGGTAGAAAAAAGCTCCCAGAAAGAGCAAGAAAATGAAAAAAGGCTAAAAAAGAAAGAAAAGGCTTTTAGGGAAATGCAGGACAATCTGAAATATAATAATATCCGTATGATAGGGATACCAGAAGGAGAAGAGAAGGAGCAAGGGATAGAGTACCTGTTTGAAAAAGTAATGATGGAAAACTTTCCTAATTGGAGAAGAGAAAAAGTCACACAAGTCCAGGAAGCACAGAGGGTCCCTTTCAAGAGGAACCCAATGAGGCCCACTCCAAGACACATAATTAAAATGGCAAATATCAAAGACAGAGAATCCTAAAGGTAGCAAAGGAGAAAGATGTAGTAACATATACGGGAGCCCTGGTACGGCTAGCAGCTGACTTCTCAGCAGAAACACTACAAGCCAGAAGGGAATGGCAAGAAATATTCCAAGTAAAGAAAAGCAAAGGCCTGCCACCAAGACTGCTCTACCCAGCAAGGTTCTCAATTAAAATGGAAGACAAAATAAGGAGTTTCCCAGACAAAAGGCCGCTAAAAAAATACACCTCCACCAAACCAGCATTGCAAGATATGCTAAAGAGACTGCTTTAAGATGAAGAGTCTATGAATACCCAGTTCCTTTCACAGCTCCCAACACTTGATATTACCAATGTTTTTAATACTTATTAATCTGATTGTGACAATGTTATTTTAAATGTTACATTATTTGTTGAAACTAAACCTGTTTTTGTATATTTCTTGTCTATTTCTTATTTTTAAAAAGCTTTAAATGACTTTCTGGTATTCTTTATCCATTTTTTGACTGTAGGAAAAAACTATTAACCCTTTTGTTATGTGTTGTACTTTCCTATTCTATTACTTGTCCTTTAGCTTTTTTAATATGTATATTACTATATAGTCTTAAATGCTTAATATAGTCATATTGTCAATTTTTTACTTTATAGCTTTGGGTTTGAATATTTTACTTCAGGGTAAGAAAAATGTTATTTTGTATTTTTTCCTAAAACTCCTTAGATTTTACCAATTTTAACTCACCTATTTTTTGTGTAATGTGTGAAATGGAGCTCTATATTTATTTCAAGTAATAGTGGTTCATGCACCTTATTTGTTGAATAAGCCTTTCCCAATTGATTTGAAATATCAATTTAATCATATATTATTACATCGTTAGATATATATGTTTGTTTCTAGAATGCTCATTTTATTTCATTGATCTACTTGATCACTTCTGTGCTGGTGTCATGTTTTTATCGCTGAGACTTTATAATGGGTTTAATTTTTTAAATATTTTATAATGGATTTTGACATTTGAAAGAAATAAATAAAGTCAATCTGCTTTTAAAAAGAAAAGAAAGAATTCCTACCTTTTGCGACAACATGCATGGAACTGGAGAATATTGTAAGTGAAATAAGCCAGTTGGTGAAAGACAAATACCATATGATCTCACCTGTTAAGTGGAATCTATTCAACAAAATAAAGAACAAAATAAACCACAGGTATGGAAACATGGAGCAGACTGAAAAGTGACCAGAGGGGATGGGGAAGGAGGACAATGGTGGAAAGAAGGGGAAGGGGCAAGACAAAGACCAAGTATGAATGACCCATGGGCACGGACAAGAGTGGGAATTGACTGTGGGAGCAGGGGGCAGGGTGGAATGGGTGGAGGAGGGCAAAGGGGGAAAAACTGAGACAACTGTAATAGAATAACCGACTTAAAAATAAAAAATAAACAAAGAAAAAAACAAAAACAAACTCCATACAGCAGAATAAATCTTTAAAGAAATCTTGTTAAAGAACCTCAACAAATACTGGATGAGACATTTTGAACAAAATTTAAAGATGCATGGCTGAACTAAACGTTGGAGGTCCTCAAAGTTTGGAAAGGAAGAGTTGAGTGAGACCCAGAGATGGTGTTTGCTCTGAAAATAGCTACCGATTTTTGGTGACCTGAAGCTTGGGTCTCAAGGCCAGGGGTACAAGGTCAGGAAACAAGTCTAAAGCCTGCACGAAGGTGGGAATGTTCATCAGAGATCTTCATGAACGTGCCCTTCAGTTAGACAGAGCCAGTATCTTCTCCCCAAAACTCCCTCTAGTTGCTAGTAGTGGTTCTGAAACAAGAATCTTAGTCATCATTCCTCTGCTTAAGACCTCTTTCATTGGCTTCCCTGTCCTTGAACAAAATCTAACTTCTAAGCATAGCATTTAGGAACTCTAATGTAACTCCTTACTATTTATAATTCCCTCTTTAACTCCTTGACCTTAAAAAATGTTACTCTCTCACGCTCGCTTCCTTTCACATATGCTTGCTGCTCCACCTTCCTGGACTCTTTCCTGGCTAACTTCCTCTTTCAAATGCCGGGTCAGACATTTCTGACTGGTTGCTTTCCTGCTTTCTTCATGTTCTACTGGATGCTTTCATTGCCTTCTTGGGACTAGAAATTTTGCTTTAAGTATTACTCATTCAGGTTAACATCTGATACAATGATTGTAGTGGTTCATAACAAGTCAACTTGGTTAGGCTGAATTATACTTTCCAGAATTCTATTCCCTGAATATTCTAGGAGTGAGCTGCAAGAGATTGTGAGCAATTTTAAATGGTGGATGCGGGGCAGCCACTATTTTGTAGCCCACACACAGTGTTATGTTGGTTCACCAGCTGTAGCTGAGCTTGCAACTTCCCGACCTTTCCCCAGACCAGCCTTCAGCATCAGTCCTAACCTTTGGACCAGGTGTGTGACGAAGGGCCTGGGGTCTTGTAGGACAATCTTACCATTAAGATCAGAGGTAATAAAACTGACAATTTCAGCGTGTGCTTGTGATTTCCACTCACTCCTACTCTCTCCCACTTTATATCCATCTTCCATGCTTAACTGCCTGTTCTGTGAACCTCAAGCTCCTGCATCAGAAATGTAACAGCCTTACAGAGGCTGCTTAACCAGCTCCCATGACATATAAAGTCAAATCCCTTACACACACACACACACACACACACACACACACATCCTAGATCTGTTTCTCTGATATTGTATTACATATTCTTAGTGCCTTTCCAGTCAATTTTAAATTCTTTGAATTAAGGACTGACTTTTATCTCTGTAAGATCAGTGTAAGATGGTGCTTAGCACAAACTAGGTGTTTGTAATTGTTAAATAATTTAGAACACCTTTGTTGACCTTGTCAAATCTCTTTTAATAATAAAGATGTCAATCTGCTTTCTATAGATGAATCCATTAACCACCAATAAATACTGACCCAGATGACTGTTACATAAATTAAAATCCTAAGAAGTCAAGAAAATATCAAGTACCCATATGATACATATTTTCAAATATTTCCTACTATGTAAGTTGTCCATTTGTGTACAATTAAATCTTTATACAAGTATGGAAGAATTAAATGCAGAAAACCCCATGGAAGGGCAGAATTCTCTGATTTACCTGCTGGATTCTTAACAGTGATTTCAGAACATATTGAGTCCCTAATATTTTCTATAGACATACTACTAAAATGATAATAAAGTCAGTGATATGATTTGATGCACAATATTTCCTTTAGTTATTTTAAGAATACTACAAAGCTTTAAATTTCCCATAATCTACCAGTTAGCCAGAGCAGCTTACCAATAACACTTATACACAAGATTATCAATTCAATGACATCTTTAATTTTTACCCACATGACAAATGTTGAGATATTTCAGAAAATTATGCAATTTGATGCTTTGTTCAACTGTTACTTTATTGTAAAATGATAGAATTACTTACAAATTTCAACGATAACTTGGTAGTTTTAATCAGGTACCAAATATTATTAAAAGCACACTGCTTATTTAAAAGTAATCATCGAACAATTCAAAATGCAGAGCAAGAAGGACAAGACACATCTCACTGGCCAATGGATTGTTTTAATTCTGTCGTTAGATGGAACTCACACTTTTCATTTTGAGGTGAGGCAAACTGACTCCGGTAGGACGCAATATAGAAAGCTTTTGTCACAGCCTAGTTTCCGCTCAGTCAGTCAAGTGTTTTTAGCTGTCTCAATCTAGAGCGATTTATTTACATAACTGGCTGTGCTTGGGCCTTCTTTGCGAGCAGCTTTAGATCTGCAATGCACTTGGCAATTGTCTCCTTTTCCTGTGATAAGGAAAGAGAAATCTGGTTAGACCTTTCCAAATCAGAATAAACACTGTAATTCTAAAGGGTGCTTCCTATAAGACCTTGAGGTTCCTACACAGTTTCAAGATGGATTACTGGCCTGATATGACAGACTACTAGGAATTACTTAATTATTTACATAGGGAAGATGCAATTTTAACCAAATCCAGGGACGACAGTCATACCTCTGTACTCGTCAGCTTTAGAACTTGGCAAACTTGGTACTCGTGGCATTTTGACAAGAAAAAAAGTTTCAGCACTTGGTGCTTCCTCGGGACTCGTCCCACTTGCTAGAGCTTGTATGAGTCACGGTGCCACCCCGCAAGAGAAAATGCTTCATGGCTGAGCACTCGTCACAAGTTCCGGAATGGATTAACGACAAGTATCGAGAAGCCATTGTAGTTAGAGTCCCCTGGCTCAGAGCTTTAGTAAGTGAATCCTATCTAGAGTTCGAAGCCAGATACTCCTGTAACCACATGCCACTGGTGTTAACCTGTACAACTAGCTACCAGCTCCTTGAAAAAGACCAACCTAACAAACAACAGTAATGTACAAAATGTTAAGAATGAAAATTGTTGATTTCTTTTCTGTCCTTTTTTGACTCTTCCAAGTTTCTGAAGTAAGTATATAGTACTACTTTTATGTAAAAGATGGTATCTTAAAATAACAACTCATTAAATATACCATATATCTGGGGAAGTAGTCACATCAAAAGAAAATAAAAAATATAAATTTAAAAAAAGAAATCAAGTCTAGGTAAATAATAGAAAACATTTCTGTTCAAGACCAGTAAGTCAAGTGGCAGGGAAGAGGAAATGGAATAATCATCATGGAATTAGGACATGGAAGAGGCTCAGAAATAGCGTCGTGCTGCATTTTACAGAGAAATTAATGGTTCCCAAATGATGCAACCTGCACACAAGTCTGTAACAACCAGTGTCCTGAACAACCTATTGGTTTAACTTGTGAGGTAAGAGATGCTTAAACAAACTTTGAGGAAGGAAGAAGCCACCGTGGCAAATGTGCAGCCTTTTCTAGGTTCCACTATCCAGAAAAATCAACGAGAGCCTGTCCCTGGGCTAAGTAAGGTCTCCCGGCCAGCAGCTCCGACCCTAACAGGGCCCTCAGCCGATGCCTGTCAGAGACACCACTGCAACTCCGGAAGCTTCTAATATCATGTACCTGCTGTGCAGAGATGCTCTGCACCACGTGCTTCTCCACCCAATTTATCATGTGCTCTTGCTCCTTCCGACGCATCATGTTCTGCACCGAGATATGGTAGTCCAGGCGACTCTTTACGTCCTTGTACACTCTGTGCAGCCGTTCCCGGTACGTAACCTCCAAGGCCATAGCAATGTTATTCTGAAGCAAATTTAAGAAACGATGAAAACTATTTACACAGTGGAAGGATCACTTCCACTCTGAGCATTCTGCCTCTTATAGTTTCCAAATTTTCTTTTTATTGCAGTTTGACATACATTAATTTCACATATACAAATAATGATTCAGTATTTGTATATACTATGAAGTGATTACCACAATGAGTCTAGTTAACATTTGTCACCATACATGTAACTTCTGGATTGTTTTTATTAGAAAGTCCCTGTTAACGCCAATGGTACTGTATTTCTCGTCATGTTCTCTTTTTCTACTTTACAGTTTCATTTCTTTTTTTTTTTTTTAAGATTTTATTTATTTTTTTAGAGAGGGGAAGGGAAACACCCATGTGTGGTTGCCTCTCGCGCGCCCCCTACTGGGGACCTGGCCCACAGCCCAGGCATGTGCCCTGACTGGGAAATAAACCAGTTACTCATAGGTTCACAGGCTGGTGCTCAATCTACTGAGCCATACCAGCCAGGGTGGTTTCATGTCTTAAGCCCTTTAATTCACTTGAAATTTATTTTAGTATGAGGCAGAAGGTAAGAAATCAACTTTATGCTATAGAAAAAGGTACCCATTTGTTTTTCCTCCACTAAGATGAAAACACCACCTATCTAAATTGCCTGATGGGTTTAGGTCTCCCTCTAAACCCTCAGCTGTTGTGCCAATCTTTCTACTCATATACTGCATGATACTACTTCAAGTTCTAGTTTTATAATGAATTTTATTATCTGGTATGACTATTCCTCATGAATTCACTTTTTCAAAATACTGCTGGGTATTCTTTTTACTTTTTCTATTAATTAATCTGCCCAATTCCCAACATCCCCTATCCTCGGTCCCTTAGTATTTTCTTTCTAGGAAAGTGTAGATTTAGAGATTAAAGTAGGGAGAATTGGTGTCTTTAGAATACTGCACCTTCTAATCTTAGAATCTTATATCTTACAAGCACTTCACAAAGTATAAAGACTATTCATTTCTAGTTAAGTTTACTCTTAGACATCTTTTCCTGAATTTGCTTCTTGTTTTAAAAGTTAGGATGATTCCTTTAGGTTTTCTAGATATATAAACAGGTAATATATAAGAATAACTTTGCCTTTTTTTCATTTTTATACCTCATTTCTTTCTCTTCTCTAGTAATATCAACTGCTGCCTCCAGAATAGTATCAAATTAATACTGGTGATAGGGATATCCTCACCTTCTACTTTGTGATGAGATTCCTTACACGTCTGCCTGTTGAATATAAAGGCTTGACATATTAATCTCAAGTAGGCCCTCAATATTCCTAAGCACAATTCTTTAGTTAATTCATTCTCCTGCTCTTCCACTCAAACCTCTTCTATCTCCTTCAGTACCTTCAACTCTCAGTAAATAACCTTCCTTCTTACTTCACTGAGAAAAGGAAGCAATGAAAGACTTTCCACAAATTTCTACCACCACATAAAAAACCTACCTGAATATATACTCGTATAACTTGTCTTCCTTTGTGTGGCTACAGCTGAACTACCAATGCTCTTGAGGCCAACCCCTCCACTTGGGCACTCTATGCCGAGCCCTCTGGTCTGCTGAAGGGCATCATCCCAGCAAATTCCTCCATCCCCTTTCTTACATTCATTTTTCTCTATTAACTTCTATCAGATGCTCACATGTAATGGCACTTCCCATCTTTTAAAAAATTCTTTCTTGATTGCTACATTCTCTCCTCCTAGCTGCTAAGTTCTTTGCTCACCTTACAGTAAAACTCCTTGACAGTTTTGGCAGTTGTCTATACTGACTCCAATTTCCTTCCTTCCACTTTTTTTCTTCAACCTGCTCCAATCACTTCACTAAAATAGCCCTTACCAAGGTCACCAAGAACCTCCATGTTGCTAAATCCTATGGCAAATTCTCAGGCCCTTTATTACTTTACCGTAAGTAGAATGACTACAAATTGAAATAGTCCTGTTTCCACCAGTTGTTTCCTTTTGTGTTCCGATCTTATGGCTTTAAGAGCCGCCTGTAAACTCATGCCTCCCAGATGTGCAGCCTGGAATCCTCCCCGTGAGTATCAGTTTCAGACTCATACAGCCAATGGTCCTAACAACTCTCCTTCACCAACTCACAGGCATTTCAAACCAATGTGTAAAAGACCGAAGGCCACTCGCAACAAGGCAATCGACGTGACCCTTCAAAACAGAACTGAAACGCGATCACTTCTTTGCTTAAAAGCTTCAGTGACTTTCTCTCACTGCTCACTTCACAGCTCCTACGGGGGCCTCGAAGGCTTCACGTGATCTAGCCCTGGCCACACCTCCACCTTGCTTTTCTAAACCCTTCTGTCACCAACTCTACTGCAGCTACACTGGCCTCTTACTTTTCTTTGACTGTACTGAGCAAGCTTCCAGGTGTGGGGACCTTATAACTGTTCTTCCTTCTACCTGGAATACTATTCCCCTAGAAACCCACAGAGCTTGCACCATTACTTCTTCAGATCTCTACTCAAAAATCACAGTAGAGGCCTTTCTAGACTGCCCATTAAAACAGTTAACTCCCTCCTTGTAACATCTCTTTCCCTTTAACGTTAGTTTATTGGTCTACGTAGCACTTATTGCCACGTGACACTCATGTCTGATCAATTTTTGTTTCTGTCCTCTCAAACTTTGGCTAGAAAACTCCATGGAGGCAGACCTTGTTTTGTTCCCTGCTCTAATCCCAGACCCCTGCCTTGACTGGCGCCTCCACAGTGGAAGAACTCAATGAATATCTATTAAATAAGTAAAAACGTTAAAGACTATCATTTGATTCCTTTGAAAAAACTACATCCTCAAAAGTCAGATTTTATTTGTGTGAACATATTATACATGAGGCAGAAAGCATTCTCTGATTGCAACCTAAAAATGCATGGAAAGAGGTTTTCAAACATTCATGTGCTTAAGAATTTTTAGAGATCCTGTTTTTAAAAATACAGACTTTTGGATAGCTCCTAGCGGAGGTTCTGATTCCACAAGTCTTAGAAAGGGTCCAAAAGCCTGCTCCAACGACTGACACACACGTGGTGCTGAGGCCACCCCAAGCAGTGCCGCACTAGAGCCTTGCTCTCCAGGTGCGTCCTTCACCCCAGCATCTCATTCTTCATGTCACAGGTGCTCCTGCAACCTAACACTTCAACGTACGGGCACCTCACCTTAAACGTCAGGCATAAAGTGCTGGGCTCAAAATAAGTAACAACAAAGTCCTTGAACAGGTTCCTAAACTTGTCTTAGAAACTAAGTAGTTTAGAATCTAATTAGGCTCTGACCATGGTAAACAGTTCCAGTGCTGTCTGAAGTCTGCTCTGTGCATTTGGAGTGTAAGCTAGCAGACTGTCTTAGAGCAAATGTGTTTCCTCATGACATGCCTTACACAGTGAATACTATTTTTTGATAAGCTGTACATTAAAAACTATTTTCCTCTTGTGTGGATCCAAATGTATTCTTTTCTAACTTTTACTTCCTAATTTTAGAGTAATAATTCTAATCAATTATCCACTCGATAGGTCTTCAATGTCTAAACAGCAATAACTGCCAAACCCCACCCATTATCTTCTCTTTTCTAAATAAAATACACTCAATCTATTCAGCCATTCTTCATGTAAGAGATTCTGAATTTCTGTTTTAAATGCACACAGATGAGTAATTTTATTCTCCTTAGAAAGTTCTAAAACCTACCCTCTGGACATCAAAAAGGTAATGGCGTTTCTGAACCAGTGCCTGCTGGGACTTCTCCAGGTCAATTGCATCCTGTATGCTTTTGATGGTAGCCTGTTTTGCTTCTTCTAGCTGGGCGATTTTTTGCTGCAATTATATTTATAACAAAGATCAGCGAAAGCACCAAGGTTAATAAAAACTACTCATTTTATTCTTCCTCAAAGTTATACCTCATGTTTATAAAAACACCCACAAAGAAACATATACATATAGGGAGAAATGCACAAATCCTTAAAAAGAATTGCCCATGATAGCTACACAATATCTTGTTGAATGAACAAAACTACAGAAAAGCTGGAAAAAGTCTGGTAGCCTTTCGAAAATTTATCTTGACTTTCTGATCTCAAATTAGTAACTAACATTAATTAACACTTCTCTAAGTGTACTCATTATTAGATTAATTTCTAATTATATTGAATATATAGATACATTCCTATAAAAGACATCACTTGATGACCTTGATGCTTCCACTATGGCCTAAAATGGGAAATAAGGTTAACGGTTCTTACCTCATTGAGTTTATCAGCAAATTCCCCAATAGAGGCACCGTATTTTTTAACCATAAAGACAAGCAGCCCTATTGTTGATATGGCAGAAATGGTCTCTGGAGTAACCACATATATTTCCTTGGACAGGAAATACAGGATAAGCCCAGTTCCGAGCACATAGGGTCCTAAAAGAAGAAAAAGTTATTTTATGATGGATATGCTAGGTTCAAAGGCAGAAGATGAGAGATAACTTCTGTATTTAAGTAGTGGGAGCAAAGTTAAGTAACGACTGAGTAATGAACAATGGATTGAGCGGCATTACGGTACAGCTGAGCGAACAAGGATCGGGACTCAGGGAAACATGACCCTGCAACTTCTAAGAACCTGGCAATATAAATAATCTCTGAGCTTAGTTTCCTCCTCTGTAAAGTAGAAGAGGCCCTCTTCACAGGGTTGATGTAACAGAAATGATGGATGTAAAGTGCCTAGCACAACTGCTCAACAAACAGGAATTATTCCACAAGATGTCAGGTTACTTTCAGAAATAATTTGTGCAGCAAAATGCGTAATTTATTGAATGGGAACATTGGTTTGGATAAAATTTACCCACTACTGCTTATTTTAGTTGAATAGGAACCTGACAATGAAGATTAAAAAAAAACAAACCCCACAACTATTAAATAGTACATATATAAAATGAAGAATTAAATACCAGGATTCTCAATTCCTGTAGCATCTAATTATAATGTTTCTAATGTATGTAGCTATCTTTTTCTTGCCTCACAAAATGCTAAGCAGAGACAAAGCAGGCCTCTCAGGCAGCATTTTACAGTGCTTCTAAGCAACGCTGGCCCCAAAGGATGTTATGCTACACTGAGGATAAAAGGGCTACGCTGAGGGCCCTTGAACAATGTGGTGGGGGTGGGAAGTTAGGGGTGCTGGTCCCCACCCCCCGCCCGCATAGTCCCAAATCCACATGTAACTTCTGACTCCCTCAAAACTTAACCACTCAGAGCCTACTGTTGACAGAAGCCTTACCAATAACATAAACAGTCCATTAACTCATATTTTCTACGTTGTATGTATTACAGGCTGTGTTCTTACAATCGAAAAAGCTAGACAAAAGAAAATGTTCTTAAGAAAATCACAAGGAAAATAGACTTACAGTATTTACTGAAAAACATCCACATATAAGTGGACCCCTGCAATCTGGACTCATGCCAAGGGTCAACTGCAGTCTCAAATATATTTTACCCTGAGTTTCTCACACAAAGTTTCAGGTTATTTTTTAGAAATTTGCCTTCACACGGACAATGGTGAGGGGACTGATTATGGAAGTGGTGAGGCGGGCTGGGTGGAGGGGGGCGGAGGGGGAAAATGTGGGACAAATGTAATGGCATCAATATTTTTTAAAAAACTTGCCCTCAATATATAAATTTTAAATGTGAATTTGCAAGATGGTCTATCACATGTAACATTTTAGTCACCTGTGAGGATCTGAGGACACTAATGTTTCTTGTAATTTCAGTTAGGAAAATGCTATTTTAGGCCACTTCTTGAAGGGTTAAAAAAACCCTTTGGTTTCCAATATTTCAGTCATAGCAGTGCTTGAGTACAGCAAGAAAGGCAGTGTGTGTGGCACAAAGAACACTAAACCTACCTGGAACCCCTGGGTTCAAGTACAACTCATGAAAGAGAGAATAAACCCTGGCAAATTTTTGGTCTCTTAGTTGTTCTGGGTAATAAACATGTCTTCATAGGACTGTCGTAAGAATTAAATAATGTTAAGTGAAAGCATAGTGTATTGTAAAAATGCAAGGTTTCAGAAGAGTTCATGATTTTCTGAAAGGGAGAAAACTGATAAATACAACCCAATTTCTGTTTTCATGCATCTATCTACAATTCAGTAATCTCTACTGCCTTACCTGGCTTTATTTTCACCCACAGCTCTTTCTGTTATTATCTGACAGTACAGTATGCAGCTACGCGTTTCTTTACTGTGTTTCCCGCAGCAGAATGTGTCCCAAGGCGGCAGGCGCCTTAGCTCACCGCTGTGGGCCCAGACCGGGCCTGGCACAGGGCAGGCATTCAACGAGTCTCGTGTATCAACAAGTGGAGACAATGCTAAAAATCAAGTTAAAATCCCAAACAAATTTATTCCAAAGATAAGTCAGAGCAACTACAGTAACTGTGACAATGAATCACTTCTACAATTTACTTTTAAAACAGCTGACTTGACGTCTGTGGCATATTTGAAGAGAGAAGCGGCCACTAGAGCCCCAGCTTCACAGACACCACACCATCCAATGGGTAAATGCTCACCTGTCACACCGGTTTTAGGATAAAGGAACTGGAAGAATTCCTCAGGGATCAGCCCGTGCCGAACTTTTCCTCCATATTCTGGAAGAGGCGGGACAGGGGCAAGGCTTGGCTGCCCAGTGTGAAAGATCCTTGTTGCCTGCAACACCCTGCAGGCAGCAATTGTACACATTTAAAGCCTGTTCTTTACAAAAAGAACTCGTGTGTGAACATGTAGTAGCAACAATGAATGGAGACGGGGACCGAGGCAGTTTCCCATCGTCACGATGGAAAGAGAACAGACCAGGAACAGCAAGGTTAGGGTCTAATGTGTGACAAGCGCAAACGACTTACTCAAAGCCATACGTCATCTCCTACCGAATACTAGAATCTCGTCTGTAAGGCTCATCAGTCATCTGTCTGGCACTTTTTAAGTCTATGATTAGCACTGACATACTTTCGAACACAGACTGCACACATAGCATCTGGGTTCAAGTCCTAAACTTGCCACTTGACTTTGAGCAACTGATTTAAACTTTTGTACTGTCCTATTCCTCTAAGTGGGAATAAAGAATACAACTTTATAGGGCTATTGTGAAAATTAACTGAGGTAACATAGTGTTTAGAATGGTACTTGGTATATGGTAAAGGTCTATGTAGGTGGTTAACTATTACACATCCACTGTGCTGTGAGCTCCCTGACAGCAAGAACTTTGACCTTTTTGAATGTTCTCTGTGATGGGGTGCTGACCAACACTAAGTGAAACAGGATCTTTCAGTGTTAGGTAGATCTAATTTTTTTTACCTTTGAATTGAACAGCCACGTATGTCCTCGAAACCTCCCTCCTCTGGTTCTAACTTTATTTTTCTCTGCGAGAAAGATAACACTCATGTATCTGGGTCAAACATCTCGGTCCCCTCACTTTCTTGGTCTACCACAAGGAGCTCTGTGGTTCTGCTTGCAAAAATGAGGTATGCAGAACTACAGAATTCTCTAATACAGCATGACCAAACCACTCATTCTACAAATATATATATTTTGAACTTGCTATTGCTATTTTTGGGCTTGAATCACTGCACTAGATTTGCAAATTATTCCTGTACTAAAGTAACCTGAGATTGCATTGTTAGCAATTATAGCAAACTGGTATCTCATTAAGTTTCTAATGAATTGAAGTCCACTTAGTCTTTGTCCTACCTGCTGTCAAGCTTCATCTCCTTCAAATACCCACTGTGTTTTGGTCCTCCCTCCCTACTCTCTGTATCTCTATCCCCTTACAACGTAAGAGTTTATGTTATTCTTCGATTTTGGTTAATTGCTTGTCTTTTGAATATTATTGTTTTTATTTTTTTCAATTATAGTTTACATTCAATAGTATTTTGCATTAGTTTCAGGTGTACAGCATAGTGTGAATATTATTTCTGCCTCCCAGCTTATTAGCTACCCCACCAACTTTTGAAATCCGAGAATCATGCTTGAGATTCTTCCATTTAAATCAGGGTTTCTCAAGCTCGGCACTATGGACATTTTGGACTTTTGACAATACTTTGTGGCAGAAGACCATCCTGTGCACTGCAAGGTGCGCGGCAGTGTCTCTGTAGCCTCTATACCCTAGAGGCCTCTAGTGTAGCATCCCCCACCTTCCTGCCTGGGGGTGACAACCAAAAACGTTTCCAGGCCTTGACAAATGTCCTGTGGGGGGCGAAACGGCCCTAGGCTGAGAACCACGGATCACGGCCCTAGAGAACCCGCTTTAGGCTGACACAAAGCCTTGCCTCAGCTGGCTCCGTTCAAGCCCTCACCTCCTCTCTTCTTCTGGTCAAATGCCCCTTAAACCCAGCCCTCACCGTGCTGCTGCCAATGTTTCTAAAATGCAAATGACTTAAAAACTCTCTAACACTCTCTCTCCTGCCTCCAGAAAAGAAACTAATACAGCACTCGATTCAGCCTGTCAAATTTTACATCCTCACCTTTCTTCATTCTTCTACCCTCTAGCCGTAGGAAAGGACTTAACAGCTCTCAAAACAAACAAAACAACAAAAACACGCCCCCGCTGCTCCTTCTGCCTGGTAGGCCAAGCCCCGCTGGCCTTCAGGACATCTCCAGCACATCCTTCATTAAGGCCTCTGCAGTCGCGGGCCAACATTCACCGACTTGGTGCGAGCAGACTGAGTTCTGACCTTCAACTTTCTAGTGGGGGTGTGGGGAGCGTATGTACAGGTCCGTGCACAATTTCAGGGAGCTGTGTGAAGTCCTATGAAGACAAATAGAGCAAGGTAGGGGACAGCGAGCAACAGAATGGGGGAAAGCTTTGTTGGCGGGAGGCCTAAGGACATGCGAGCCAGGGACCTTGGAGGAAGGGAGAAAAGCAAGTACAAAGATCCCGAGGCCAAAAATAAGCTAGTAGTTTTCAAAGGAAAAGCAAAAAGACCAATATAACCACAGAATGAGCTAAGACAGGAGGGGCCGAAGAGGTAGGAAGGGATCAATTCATTTTGGGTCTTCTGGGTCATGTTAAGTTTGGATCGTATTTCAAACGGGAGGAGGAACTCCCAAGAGTTTGTGGGGGCGGGGTGAGGGGGGCTGACATAATCCCTGTGGCTGCTGTGAGAAGGGGCTGCTCTGGGAAAGAGAGAGGCAAGGAAACCAGTGGAGACCCTCCTGAAAAGCCCAGGTGAAAGTTGGCGGAGGTTCGTACCCAGCAGTTGTGGCTGTAGAAGGGGGGTCAGAGCCCAGACAAGCTGGTGGAAGAGCCTGCTGATGTATTAGACATGCAATGTGAAAGAAAGCAAAACCAAGGCTGTTCCTTGTCCGTTATGTACTTGTGTATTTTACTTATTACCTTTATGATGACTATTCATTTGTCTGTATGGAGTCTTTTTTTTCCCTCTGGTAAGTTGGAAGCAGTCAATTACAGCCTCACTGTACTGCACACCAAAGATACTTACAGGTAGATTAAAGCCACTTTTTCAAGCCATAGTACAGTTATCAAATTTGGCAAGATTTAGGGCTATCAACAGAACCCCCCCCCAACTGACATGTTTTAAGAAATAATATTAACAATAACAAGCTGCTAACATTTACTGAGCATATACTATGTATCAGGCACTGTTTTTACAGTTTCACAGGAATAAAGTCTTGTAATTTTCATAACCCATAATGTACTATTAGCTCCATTTTGCAGATAAAGAAACTGAGGTCACACAGCTGGTAAGCAGAGAGGGCCGGAGTACCTCGCCCTTCGAGCCCTGGAGTCCTCCCTCTAACCCACTGCTCTACAGCCACCTCCTCTCTAGACTGTGTGAGCTCCATAAAGGCAGGTCCTTAGTCTTATTCATTTTTCTACTTCTGGTTGTATGGGAGGCAACTAAATACCTACTGAATCAATGAATTTCTCTAACTCTTTGATCTGGCAGTAACAGTCGGAATCTGGGAGACAGACTGAAAACAATGTGCTTCATTGTTCTTTTTAACAAAACTTGTTCAGTCATACGTGGGATATGAAACAGAAGGCAATGAACTAACAAACAAAACAAATAAACTCATACACACAGACAACAGTATGAAGGTCACCAGAGGGGAAGGATGAAGAGGGTAAAGGGGGTCAAATGTATGGAAACAGCACACAATGCAATGTAGAGAATGCATTATAAAATTGGGGACTTGAAACGTCATCCCAATAAATTTAATTAAAAACAAAACAGAAACGTGTTCTTGGGTATGCAAAAATTCTTACTCTAAAACTGATTGGGGCTGCGGCAGTTGTGTCTAGCTGAAGGTCACAGCGAGATGGGCGGGGCTTAGAAGACTCAAAACCAGTTTCCCGTTCAGTTAGAACACCTCATTTAAACTCTTAATCTTTACCATTATATGATACGACGAAGCTGCTTCAGGCAGTTAGAAAAGCCCAAATGCTTGAATGATGCTTTAAGAGTTCCAAAATTACTTAAGAAAGGTAATTTCTGGCCCAAAGTTAAGAGGTCGCCGAGCAGCGAAGAGAGGTGCTAAAACAAGGAGGTAGGGGCGTATTACTCTCCTCTCACTTACCCTGGACCGAGGAGGGCTGCGTTCTTCAGAGGAGGGGCTGCAAATACACAAGGCGCAGGTCAGCAAGGTCAAGGTGAAATTATATTTGCCTTTTCCTCGGTCCCCACGGGGACCGTTCACTAAGGCCATTCTCCCCTCTATTCTGGGCCCCGAGACCCCACGCTCACCTTCAGAGCGGCTCTAATAAATCCACACTCAGACCCAAGTCTCGCCGCGCCTTTTTCCATCGCCTTTCCTTCCACCCCCTCCACGTAACCCCACACGGGCTTCTTTACAGTCACTGACAGGCCGGACCACGGTCTGCACCTCTCACCTGCTACGGCGGCAGCAGAAAGTACCACTCGAGACAGCATGGTCAGCGAGGGTCCGCTCGGAGTTCCTAGCGTCCCAGTGACCTGGGCGAGAGAATCTGTCAGGGGCAGGAGCAAGATGGTCGCTCGCAAGTCTCGCGAGAAGAGGACGTGAACCCTTGTTCCCTTCAACTTCCTGTCGAATTGTTTTTTCTCGCGATAAGAAGCTCCTAGCGTGGAGAACCTGTTGCTGAGGGCGGCCGCCGGAAAGCAGAATGGAACGACCGAAGCAATTCTCGCGAGATGTAGAAAGCCTGTCTGTCCAGAGGGGCGGAGACCCAGAGAGGTACCACGTGGGAACTATCCTGCTGAATCTCCTGCGGACGTCCACTTTGGGTCTAGGTTGGCATTGGAACCGTGGACATGAGGAAGGAAACCCCGCCTCCTGTAGTGCCCCCGGCGGCCCGCGAGTGGAACCTTCCCCCTAATGCGCCCGCCTGCATGGAGCGGCAGTTGGAGGCTGCGCGGTACCGGTCGGGTGAGCCGACATCCCGGGCCTGGGGCTCCCTCACCCCGGCTCAGGAGGACCCTTCCCGAGACTGATCCTTCTAGCCCGCCCCGCCCCTCCTGCCACCCTGATCCCTCCCTCGCTGAGCTCTGTCCCCAACCGTGCCCCGCACTCCTGAGCTCAAATCCGGACCTGGCCCGCGTGGTTTTCTGTGCGGTCGCCATGGAGACGAACCCTTACACGCCTCCCGCGCTGACAGCTTGTACCTCCCGTAGATGGGGCGCTCCTGCTTGGGGCTTCTAGCCTGAGTGGCCGCTGCTGGGCTGGCTCCCTCTGGCTTTTCAAGGACCCTTGTGCCGCCCCCAACGAAGGCTTCTGCTCCGCTGGAGTCCAGACGGAGGCCGGAGTGGCTGACCTCACCTGGGTGGGGGACAAAGGTATCCTGGTGGCTTCCGATTCAGGTGAGTCACTTTCTCCTCACCCCCGCAAGTGGAGCGGAGGCCAAGGGGTATACAGGTCGGGCTAGGTTCAATTTTTCATGCCCCAAACTGAGTTCTTGGGATAGTTTGAGAGTGTTGGTCCCTAAGGAGAGTTCCTATGTAGGTAGAAATACCTTTTCCGAGAGTCTAAATTGCCTGATGGGAATTTCTAGCAAAATCTATAACAAAATTAAGAAATTGGTTGGATCCATGTTTTCTTATATGTCACCTGCCCCATATCCTCCCACTCCAGACCAAGCCAACCTGTGCCATCTCTTTCCATATCTTCCCATTTTCTTCTTCATAAATGTCTGTACTCTGCTTTCTTTGTTTTGAATGTCAGATTCAGCAGTGAAGACTTTGTTATTAAAAAAAAAACAAACAGAATTTGGGTGTTAGCAGGCATTACTCGGAAGGGTAAATGTGGACATTAAAAATTGAGATAGTAGAGCTTTAAACACTCCATATATTCAGCACAACTTCTGGGGTGTTTCCAGTACTTAACCAGTCACTGTGCAAGACATTGAGTCATTCAGTATATATTTTTAAGACCCTGTAAGATGTTATTGAAATTGTTCGGCAAATATTTATTATAATTGAGGCGCTTAAACCAAACTGGACCACATGCTACAGAGACAGTTGTGGAGATGGCGTCCTTTTCTCCCGGGGACTTATTTTCCAGTGTTTTCTCACTGGAAGGGGGGTAATGGATTTTACCAGCTATTCCATCTTTTTCTGGAAGCCTTCTCCGCCTAATTGTCTGGACCGTTATTAGGAAAAGAGTAATGCCAGCTTAAAGGCATATGGCTTGGAAGTTAGCTAAACCCTCTAACGACATGAACTTTGCTTCTGTGGAAATAACTTACTTTGTGAGTTTAGTGACAATGGGCTCCTTGGACCCTAGCAGTGAATTGCTGTCTTGGTATAACGCAGGCTTGTCTCCCTCCCCCTGCATCCTATCCCTGACAGGTGCTGTTGAATTGTGGGAGCTGGATGAGAACGAGACACTCATTGTCAGCAAGTTCTGCAAGTACGAGCATGACGACATAGTGTGTACGGTCAGCGTTCTCAGCTCTGGCACACAAGCTGTCAGCGGTAGCCAGGACTTCTGGTGGGTCCTTGTCCTCATTACTCCTGTCTCTAGGCCTCCTTTTGGGTGTCTTTACTATTCGGTTAGCCTTATTAGATGACGTTTTTGGACTCATCATTAAGGACCCAGTGACTCCTTACGGCACATCTGTAAGGTTTCCCTAGAGGTTTTGCAGTCCACTGAAGCATCTGTTTCCCTTTGCTTCTTAGCATCAAGGTTTGGGACCTCCCTCAGCAGATGGTACTGAACTCATACCGGGGTGAGTACCTATTCTTTCTTTCCTCGTCCTGGCCTTCGCTGTTTGGTTTTTGTTTTTCTCACCGGGCTCTTTGGACTTTGCTTGGATGTTCGGGGCAGCAGGTCCGTGCCCTCCTGCCTGACGGTTGTCTTCCAAAGTGTCCGTCCCGTGCCCCGTGCCTTAATTTCCCTACCTCTGTTGACGGCCTCACCTCCTCCTTGGCCGCCCAAGGCTCACACGCGCAGTCACTTTCCATTCCTCCTGCTGTCACTTGGTCACCATGCTCTTTTGCACCTTTTTCCATTTGGCCAGTGACCTTCCCTTCCATTTCTCACTCTCCGATTTGCTTTCCTCACGCAGACAGCGGCACTCATCGCTGCACTTGCAGCTTCCGCTTTGTCATTGGTTTCTTGTGGCTTGCAGATTGACGTCCCGTCGTCTTACCACAGCCTCCAAACCCTTTTGCTCTCACTGCCCCTTCAGGCGTTGTGCGTTGGCTGAACCAATCCCAGCAGACCCTGCGCCTTCCCCAAGTAGGAGCCTCAGGCTTATGAATCGGTCATATTTTTCAAAATTCTCGTTATCAGACAGAAATGGAAATAAGTCACAGAACCACAGTTGTGTATGTGGTGCGGATGAAGCATGGTCCACTCGTCCACTAGATTTTACCCAGAGGCCCTTTGCTTTGCTCTGTGGCTCTCAGGGAGGGACCCCTTTTGTGTGGTACCTTTGCTTTTTATACTGCTGAGCGTCGTACCATGGCATCATTTGGGACGGGTGACAGTCGTGCATTCCTCCTGTGACATGGGCAGAGGGTGATTGTGGAGGTGGAGGTGGGTAAGGAGCACTGAGAGACTGCACGCAGCGACTCATTCGCTTTGGGGAAAGAGAACATTCAAGAAAGTGATACCCTTAGAACTCTCGGTGCCCAAGACCCCACTGAGGCATGTGTTGTGCAGTATGAAAATTACGATTCCGCAACAGGATGCAAACTGTGAATTCTTTCGCTCTTCTTACCCAGCCCCTAATTTCTCTTTCATTGTGTTTGCTAATTAGTTTTTTCCCCTAAGCCTTTTTAGGTTTTATAACTCTGTCAATATTTCCTCTTAGGTTTTGTCTGATTCACTGTCTCTCATGAAACGTATTCAGTTACATCCCGAGACTAGGCCTGTCTCTCACAGCCTCCCTCTGCCCCCTCGGGAGGATCTGGGCTGTTTGATCGCTGTGCCTCCAGCCTCTTCTCCATCAGATTCCTCTTTCTCTCTCCTTCACAGCTCACTCGGGGCAGGTCACCTGTGTCGCTGCCTCTCCCCACCAGGACTCTGTGTTTCTTTCATGCAGTGAGGTGAGATAGAGCCTCTCCTTCCCTTCCCCCTCCCCATCCGCACTCCAGCCTTTGAGGCCAAAGTATAGTGTGGAGACCCCTGACCTGCAGCTGCTGCTTTGGGTTCTGAAGCCCCTTTTCTGTTCCTCTGCTTCCAGGACAGTAGGATTTTGCTCTGGGATACCCGCTGTCCCAAGCCGGCATCGCAGATGGGTGAGTCCGGAGGCGGGCCATGGGCGAGGGGTGCTGGAAATGCCCCCAGAAGAGGCTTGCCCTGGCCGGGGTCAAAGGGAAGGCTACCAAGTGCTCCGCTGCTGCAATCTAAGCCGCACAATCGCTTTCTTTGCCACTGAGGCTCTGCTGACTCCACTTTGTGCAGCGGGTACCACGAGGGAGGTCTGGGTCCTGGATGGGTGACTTACTTTCCATTTCCTGGACGGGTCAGCAGAAGGGCCAGAGTTGATATCCCCAGGCTTTACGCTTGGAACTTGCCTGTGACTTGTATCCAGAAAGGGCGGGAGGCTGACGAATCAGTGGCAGTTATGAGGGTTAAGGAGGAGGACATGGCTGCCTTAGTGGGGCTGGGAAACCGAACACAGTGCCCCTGGGACTTAGAGTGACTCCACCCGAGAAGCGTCCTCTCAGAGCTGGGCTCTGAGCCTCGCCCCGACCCCTCTTCGTCCTTTGCAGGCTGCGGCACCTCTGGCCACCTTCCCACCTCCCTGGCTTGGCATCCTCAGCAGAGCGAGGTCTTTGTCTTTGGTAAGGGGCCCCCGAAACTGTGTGTGGGCCCTGGGAAGGGGACACGCACGAGCTCTGGCAGCTCCGTCATCGGCACCCCTGGGCAGCAGATGGGTTTGCTAGTGGGGGGCTGGGAGGGGCGATGACCCCAAAGTGGTTTCAGTTTCGCTTTGGACAACATGATGATTTTTTCTTCCTAGTGGATTTGAGTCCCAATTGTTGGTTCTGGTTGTTGTACCCTGGACACGACTAGAAGCCAGAGGGCCACAAAGCACATGGATTACTCACTATATAGTAGGTCCTCGATAATGTCATTTCATTCGACATCCTTTCGTTGTATAGTTGATGAGATGCCATAGGAACTTAAGTCTTGCTTGTATCAACTAGCCTGTGGTAAAATTGGTTTCCTCATATGTTGTTTCACTTAGACTCATAGAACCAATCGGTGACGTTAAGTGAGGACTTACTGTGTAGGGAGTTTCATTATACCGTGCATAGTTGTACTGCTACCCTGGTGATCCAGTTTGTGGTTAAAGTAATAACTACATCGTCCATTAACTTAGTTTTCACAACCACCCAGCGACTACTTATTCCCACTTAACCAGAGAGGACACTGGTCCTCAGAGCGGCCAACTTGTCCAGCTCGAGGGATGGGCATTCCGGTCCAGGTCCCACTGCCCCCAGAGTCCCCGCTCTTCTCCACCTGACGCCCTCTGCCTTTTCTGCAGGCGATGAGAATGGGACCATCTCCCTCGTGGACACCAAGAGTGCGGGCTGCGCCCTCAGCTCAGCGGTGCACTCCCAGTGCGTCACTGGGCTGGTGTTCTCCCCACACAGGTACCGTTCTCTGTCACCCGCTGGGTGTGAGCGGCCCGGCGAGGCGCCGGGGTGCGCTGGCCAAGCCTTGGCCGGTTAGGTGGTTCTCCTGAGCTTTCAGAGCGGCCGAGGTCCCTGAGGACTGCCGGCCTTTTCTGGGCCGCGCAGTCCCTGTCTGCCAGTGACTAACACCTTGCTCGGCGCCTGAAACGATTCACATTGTCGGCTTCCAGGACAGTGCGGCCGAAAAGCCCGTGTGTCTGGGTCATCGCCGGAGCTGCAGGGAGGGGCCGGGTGGGTCGGTTAAGGGCCAGGGTGATTGTCAGCCCCAGCTGTCCTCCATTCCTGTCGCCCTTCCTTGCAACTTGTAATGTGGACCCGAGTGGTAGCCAGACCTTAACCCAACGTGGGGATCAGGCTGGCGGCTGCACCCGTGGGTTTGTCCGGGGTCCGTGGGCTGCCCGTTTCACGACCCTCTCCTTGTGGTCCTAGTGCTCCCCTGCTGGCCTCTGTCAGTGAAGACTGCTCCCTCGCCCTGCTGGACTCGGGCCTTTCAGAGGTGTAAGTGCAAGGGGGGCACTGGGGGGCTGGGGAACGGGGTGGAGCAGCGGGCGGCCAGCTCCCTTTTCAGGAAAGTGCACATCTCCTTCAAGGGGCTGGGTGATGGAAGCAGGCTGATGTGGGCCCCGCCCCTGCTCCTGGGGTCCCTGCTCCTGGGGCCGAGGCACAGCCAGCTCAGTGCCGGGTGCAGGAGGAGTGCGGTGGCAGGTGGAATTCCTAGGGCTGGCGTTCTGTCTTCCTGGAGGGCGCGCTGCCTTTTTCGTGGGAAGACTTGCAGTGAAGTGCACCCTGTTGAGGGGTGAGAGGCACCGCATAGAAGAGCTGAACTGCACCTCCGTCTCGGCCTTGCTGTGCCACCTGATCTGGCCCGCCCACGTTCCTGCTCTTGCTCCAACCACCACGTCCTCGTCCAGGGAAAGGGGGGCGGGTGAGATCCCCGGGGGCGGCTGCTCCGCCGCCCCACTGGCAAGGCCGCATGGGCGGCAGAGCGTGTGTGGACGTGCGGGCCCTCTTCTCCAAGTCGTGCTTCCCTCCTGCCCCTACCGCGCTCAAACTCTCCCTTTCTAGGTTCCGAAGCCGAGCTCACAGAGACTTTGTGAGAGACGTGACGTGGTCTCCGCTCAACCCCTCCCTCCTGACCACCGTGGGCTGGGACCACCAGGTCATCCACCACGTGCTTGCAGAGCCTCCCCCAGCCCCGGGACCCAACAGCGTTGCTGAGTAGGCCGGACTGAAGACAAAAGCAAATCCCCCAGGAGTGGCCTCGCCCTTTGCCCCTGCCCCTCCATTTGTGAAACAGCGTGGAGCCTCCCGCGCGGTGCCGGCAGCCCAAGTCGGGGCAGTCACCAGGCATGTCTCAGCCGGGGGTGTCTGGGTTCTGGGATCCTGTACTCACAGGGGAAAAAACTTTCTGGAAAATGGATAGGTATGGATGTCTGTGTGTGTGTGTGTGTCTGTGTGTGTGTGTGTGTGTGTGTGTGTAGTTTTTGGTTGTGGGGGGAATAAAAAATCCATCCCACGTTCCTGGGGCCCACGCTCCCACCCGTCCCCAACCCCCAAAAAAGAGTTCACGAGAGGGTTTTGTGCTTCCCACGTAGCTGTGCTTGAGGAATTTGCTGTGCGTGGGTGACATGGGATGTGGGCATTCCTGGATTCTAGGAAGCAGCTCATATACTACTCATAGACGTAGGAGCTTTTTAATAGACTTTAATTCACCTTGGACGTGGGCAGTGTTTCCATTCACAAAAATCCAGCCCAGCTCACCTTGAGGGGGAGCCACGTCACTCACCGCAGCTCTGCACATCTTCTTGCCATTAAACTGACTCAGAAATCCATTTTCTGGCTGAATAAAATGTGACTAGTGCCTGTATAGTGTTCCCCCCACCTCCCGTGAAGTTGTGTCTGTGAGAGATGAGTATTCTGTCTCAGATGCTGTAGGAAAGAGCTTCCTATGCAGAAATCATAAGAAAAAGTTTCCATAGGGGATGGTGGAGGGCTGAAAGGCAGTTCAGTGAAAACCCACCATAGACTTGCAGAGAAATGTCTGCCACTCTTACCTGCAAACAGCCTGGAGCCTCACCTCCTGCCTCTGGACCCCCTTCTGTGGATACAGGACCTCTGAGTACTGTTTTGTGGACTCTGAAGATTTTGAATTTCAGCCTGACAGAAAATCAGAAATGCTGGTGAAATAAAACATTTAGGCTTTGTTGACCTGTTCTTTGAAGTGTGTCTTATATAGTTAGACATATTTCACTTCTTAGGGTATCAGTCTTATAGCCGTTTTTTTTTTTTTTTTGCATCCCAGCCACGCCAAGTAGCTGGTTGGAACTTTAAGTAAACGCTGGGTTCCTCAGGTTGGTGGGCTGGCTGCTACTACCAGTCAGAAATCATGGATCGATCACTGAGTGTATTGCCACTAATCATAACCATAACCAGTTATAACATAAACATAACCAGATATGTGCTGTTACACTTTGCAAGTTCAGCTTGGCTAAAATCACTTGGAACTGGGGCATGTGGAAGTAACACAAAGTTTTTGTAAGTAAAGCTTCCCTTGCCAAGCTCGACCTCTGTTTCCCAGTTCCCCAGAAGGAAAAATCCATGGGAATTATGGTCATGTGATCTGCCAGGTTTGGGGTGAGGCAGGAATAAAGCCTTCACTGTTCCTAACTTCTTGGGGGGTAATACAGTGAGTTGGTAGAAACGTAAGTTCTTCCTAGAGGTAAAAGAAAATTTGTGACTGATAAGAGAATAAGGCCAGGGCCGAGGTGGGTAGGGATGGAATCCGTGTAGTCACATTTGTGGACGAGTGGCAGAGAGGAAGGCCTGGGGGAGACTAAGGATCCGAGGAAATGCAGGTGTGGGCTCAGGTGGTTTAGAAGATGCCAGAGAAGGGAAACGGCCTTTGAAGAACTCTTCTCTTACTGGTACACACAGTTTGGGTTCAGGTCTCTGTTGGTGAGAGTAATTCCTGTTTATTGACATTAACGACTGCCACTACGACTCTTGGAAGCCTAATCAAAGGCACAATAGGAAGGACCATCCCATTTTGGTTGAATGTGAGCAAAAGGGACAGCCTAAAATAGAAGGTGACTACAGAATCCGAAACGTCACACGCAGAGCTGGTCACTAGGTCCTTGACAGAGCAGCGAGCACAGACTTGCTGATGACAGGTAGAGTTGGACTCATCTTGTGTTTAAGGCCACATACAAGCATGTATTTTTCCATTTAATTTCTCTGGTTCAAATGCCTGAACGCTGGCATAAATGCATTTCCCTTGCTTCTTCCTTGTTCTTACTCTGAAGTCCGTTGCCCTGGTCCACTCTGCAGCTTTAAACCTACTTCTGCCCACCCCCAAATTCCACCTCTGATTTCCAGTCCAAAGCGTAGGAGGCTCGCCCTTGGCTTGTGCTCAGATCCACAAGCAAACACAGGAAGGCCAGGGAACTGGTCCAGGTGGCACCAGACACTGCGCTGATGCCCGGGGTATTTCACCAGCCCCGCAGGACCGTAGGAGGCCAGCTCTCTGACACGCAGCTGCACAGGCATTGCCTGTGGGTTCGCCACCACATCATAGCTGCAAAGTTCCCCAGGCTCTGCTTCGGGCTCCCAGCCGTGTTTCCTCTGAGCAGCATGTTAGAGTAGGAAATTGGGGGCTGGGTGGGGGCAGTTGGGAGCGTCCCTGTAGTTTCATTTATCTTCAGAGGGCTCCAAAATACGCTACATCTGGACCTGGAAGTAAAGGCTTGGGTCCCTAAAAGGCGAGTCTTGTTAACTCTGGACAGCAAGGATATTGCGCCTTTCACCTTTGTATTTCAGTAGTTGTTTGACTTAATAACTGTATCTACAAACAAGATTTGTTCCAAAATACACTCACAAGCATTCCTTGCAGTAAGATGCACACTGAATGCCTTGATGTATTCTGGGGAAGCTTTGGAGCATCTAAGGAAAGCCAGCCCATGTGGAAGCAGCTGAGAATTCGTGACCAATGGCTGTCTGTAGCGGGTTTCTTACTGCAATCTGGGTCACACGACACTGTTAGACTCTCCTGTGCGGGAAACAGATTGTGTTTAGAAAAAAGGCGAGCTACCTCCAGTCTCAGTTTTGAGTTTCAATTTCTCCAACATCGGCAGCCCGTACAGCAAGGTTTTAGAAAAGTAAAGTGTGCAAACCAGTCTTGGACCCAAAACACATTCTCTTGAGTTCTCCATCAAAAATGGGCAATTATGGAGTTTTTCATCCGCGTCGTTCATGACATGGTCGCCTTACTAGTACAATCCAGAGTCGGAGAGGTGTGACGGGGAGGAGAGGGGGGGGTTAATTTGTGCTAAGAGACAACGCAATCCAGGCCCCTGCAATGCGCTTTTGTTTCCTGGAGTCAGATTGAACGTGGTCCTCAACGTATTCTGGAAACTCTCTTGTCTCATATAATGTCCTGCAGTTTCAAGACGGACTAGAACAGTAAAATTCAAAAGCTTTGTACATAAAGAGTTTAATCCCCAAACAACATCCTTTAGTGTTCTGGTGGGTGCCTAGTCAGCACCCTTGGCTGAAAGTGCCTTCAGTGAATATAGACATTTCACCTGTCCCTTTCCATGTTGGGTGCCAGGTTCCGGTCAAGCACATCCCTTCAGGAGACACCGTGTTATAAGCGTTAGGAACTTCCAAACTGAACTTTTCCATATTTCCCTTACCTGGGGAAAATAACGAAGCTTCTTTGGACACAGTTCCATCAGATAGCCTTTTTTGAATTGTCTCAGTTTTTACATTTAAATGGTATCTAGGAAATGATGGGTGTTTGGATAATATACATTTTAATACACATCGAAATAAACACATACATTTAAAAAGTTTTTAAAAATCCTCATGCACAACCAAACATCATCTTTTACGTTCAATGTTGGAAAACGCTGCTCTAGTCTATTTCCTTTATTTGAAAGGCAATGATAAGGCTCTCGGAAGTTCACACGGATCGGTGGTCAACACTCTGGGTTCTTATATCATTTAACCAACTAATTTAGTTCCCTCGTGCTTCTCCAATTCCTTCATGATACTCATGGAAGATTTGGTCAAAAGGTTTGGTCGAGACCACCACGGCCTTGTCTAGCTAAGTGCTGTAAAATGTGGAAGAGGGCGCACTGGGGTTTCTTCAGTAAGTTGCCCATAAGACATTTGTAAATGTCTTTTCTCATTTCATGGGAACAGGCTAAGCCCTAGGGAGGACTGTTGCTAAGGATCTGTGTGGGTGTGTAAAGATACAAAGCGATGGCCGTACTTTTCCACCGCAAGAACTCGGGGAGAAGGATTGAGAACGAACAGCGCGACATGGCACACTGATTTTCAACACACCCCTCTTTCAGCACCTTGCTATTCATCATCTGCCGTACGCACGGAGTCGGAGCTGCCAAGTCTTCGGCACGGTCATCCCTGAATGAAGCAGAGGTCATTCCTGGGCATCCATTGTTATACCGTGGCATCCATCTCAGCACTATCGGTCACTTTTGTAGGTATGAAATGGTTCGGTCTGAGATCCGGCCTTGCCCACTGCTGCAGAACAGGAGCCCAGAGGACTGAGCCAGGCGCAGATGAATGCGGTTCAGATAAGCAAACTTGGCTCTGAGATGGGTACCGCGTTACTGGCCAGTGCCCCTGGCAGGAATCTGGGTAGAAGGGCACAGATCTAGTGGGAAATCTCAGCCATGTGGAATCTGGGGGCAGGGATGGGGTGAAGGGAGGCTCCGGAAAAGAGAGAGGCAGGTATTCCACATCAAGGAGGTCTTCAAAGACAACCAGGAAGGCCCCAGAAGCCTGGCAAGACTGAGTCAGGACCCAGGCCCTAGGAAACAACAGTTCAGTACACAGAACAGGAAGAGAAATCAAAGCAGAGACCCAGTAGCAAGAATTAGGGCCCATGGGCTAGAAACTGGGCAACAAGTAAGAACAAGGTCCTTATGAGTTAGAAACTACACGAGGGGAACTCTAACCCAACGGTGCAACTTGCTGCCAAGCCTGATCACTGCTGCTCTCAGGCGGCTTCATCATCTCCTGATTCAGGGGCATATTAGCCAAGGAGCGGAGGGGGCCCTGAGTATGCAGGTGGGACTCCTGTTTTCCCTGTCACATCCATCCAAGCGGGATGAGAGAGGCACACCTGTCTCTGAGAGAAAACCACATACTAGCTCTTGGGGGTGTGGTCCACCCTTCACTAGACTGGAAGCCTCTTAAGGGCAGGAACTGCGTCTCGATCACCATTGTATTAGATGCCCTAAGGAGTGCCTAGCAGGGCCCGGCACCTGCTCAAGGAGTATTTGCTGAACAAACGGAGACACAGTCTCTGTTGGGTAGACATTCCACGAGGCTTTCCCAGTCTCAGGGAGCCGTCCTCACCCTAAACGTTCTATCCCCTTCCTTGTTTTTATTCTGTGATACCCAAGTAAACTGCTGACAAAAAGGTTGATTCTCCCGGTTTCTTCTACTGGAAGTGAAGCAAGTTCAGCTACTAGTCATTGTTATTTTTCTGTGTCATTTTCTCTATTGACATCTGGTTAGTGCCTCAGTGACATGTGGATTAGGTGAACAGTGTAAAATAAATCTCTGAGGACGGGTGTGTTGGATACACTGAGCACATGATGTCGGGTCCCCCATCCCTGAGAGTCAGATCCTGAAATCTGGGACCTACCCATGGCCTGAGATTTCCTGTAGAAGAAGAAAGAAATTGATGGGCCATAAAAGCATCTGGCTGCAGACCTATTTTGTTTATTTTTCCTGTTGTTCTGTCGTAGTTTTAAAATCCAGCTCTAAGGTATCCAGAGTCGTCTTCATTATATCCCTTAGGTGCATGACACATTCTCGCAATGGGCTCATACACTGACTCAGGCACTGTAGACTCACACAGAAATTCAGGGTTTTGTCGCCTCTTGAGAAATAGAAGAATCTTCCAACATTGGGTCCATTTCACTGTGTGGCTGTCCTCAGTGGCTACTGAGCAATGTCCCTGTTCCTACACTCTCTGCTCCCCCCTGACCTGAGACGCTTCGTATCAGCTGCTGAGTGTCACTGGGCTTGAACAGTTATTACTCTAATAAAGTGGAGAGTGAGGCACTTGATCGTGTCCCCTCCAGCCATTGACATCCCCTGCCTGGTGACATCTGAGTGTGAGAACCCCGCTCTGCTGGGCAACTCGTTTGGTCCCCCTGCCCACAGCTGCCATTCGCTGGGCCCTCATTGAGCTGCCAAGCGCTGATCTAACCCTTCTCAGACATTATCTTTTTAATCCCTCTAAAATCCTATCGAGTAATATGAGCGACTATTTCCATTTCACAAGTGTGGAAGCTGAAGCTCAAAGAGCTGAGGAGCTTGCTCACGATGATAACACGTCTCATTGGTTACCACGAAGATTCACGCTTCGGTCTGCCTGAGTCCCAAGCTGGGGCTTTAAAACTTTCTATTACATGCTTCCCTAACCAGCAATCTTGTAACAATAGGGTTACTGCTCCCATGTGCTGTTTCTCCCTCCTACTCAGTCCCTGCAGGTCGACTACCAGGAGGAGGGGCCGGCGCCGCCCTGCTCTGGCCTGGCCGTGGGAACACCTGCTCCACGCCACTGTCTGATGGCGGTTTTGCTCTGTTGACCCTGAGAGCCAGAGAAGGGAGGATCAGAGGTGCTGGGGTCGCTGTGACCGGGTCGGGGGGGGCAGCAGCCCATTAGTCACTGTTCCCCGTTTTGCTTGCGCGTGTGACTGGGCCGCCCGGTGCTGTCCCACGGTGGTACCCGGGGAGCCCATATAAAGGGCCGCGAGCTCTGGCCTCGCAGCGTCCGACCACAGCGATGGGGAGACTGCTGCTGTGCGCTGGTGAGTGTGTCACTCAGCCCCGGCTTCAGGGCTTGTCCTCTCCCTGGGCCCCAGGTGGCCTGGATTAGGTCGAGCTCAGACAGGGCCTGGTGAAGGGCCAGGGGGCCCAGGGAGGAGCAATCGGAGGGGTGGCCCTCAAACCTGGCTACACGTGGAACACTCTTAGGTCTGTTTCCCCCTCGGACCAATGAAGTCAGAGTCCTTGTGGGGAGGGGCCAGGGTATCAGTGCGTTTCAGTTTGCAGTTTGTAGGGCTGGGGACCACTGGCCTAGAGCCTTTGCTGGGACTTCTAAAAGTCACTGTTGTCCCTGTGCACAGCACTTGTGTATACGCATGGTATTCACTGGCCTGAAAAGGAGCTGAAATAGGTCTCGCTCCACTGACGCAGCCTAGAGATGAAGAAACGAGTGAATAGTGTATGTGCCTTTGTCCACTACGGCGTTGGGTTGGTGGGTCCCCAGAGGACCAGGGGGCGTGCTGGGGCGTGTCACTCACTCTGGGTGCATCACTCGGGGCGCGCACTGACTCTGCGAACGACTGCTTCCTTTGTTTCCTGCAGGGCTGGTTCTTGTGCTGCAGCTCCACGCTGGTAAGGATGCTGTGCCCTTCCCGCCCCCCCCGCCCCCCGCCGCCTCCGCCGCCGAGCCTGGTTGATCCCCTGGCGGAGCCGTGCTCCACAGCGAGTGTCCCCGGCATCCTCCCCCTGCCTTGGCCCTGGGTCTGGGATCACTGGTCCTATACAGTTCAGCAGAGGATTCTCAGTCACCTGCTGTTTGTGTCGCTCTGTGTGCTGAGATCCAGGCCTGAGGACCCATTCTGACCAGGAGTTCTAAGGCGTTCTTGTCCTTCTGGGACCTCAGCAGTGGAGGACCTCGGCGTAGCTTTGGGGTGTAGAGAGGGGATGTCCCAGTGGCCTGGCCTCTTGGGCTATGTCCACACTGCTCTGTGGAAGCTGCGCTCCATCCCTTCCCGTGGTCTCTGCCAGCTAACGTGTGCCCTTCCTTGCCAGGTGCTGCCCACAAACTGGTGTGTTATTTCACCAACTGGGCACACAATCGACCTGGCCCCGCCTCAGTCTGGCCCCGTGACCTGGACCCCTTTCTCTGCACACACCTGATATTTGCCTTTGCTTCAATGAATGACAATCAGATGGTGGCTAAGGACCTCCAGGATGAGAAAATTCTCTACCCAGAGTTCAACAGGCTCAAGGAGAGGTGTGTTCATATTGAACGTGGGGGTCATATTTGCAGATTTTACAGATGGAAGAGAATCAAGCCTTTTCTCCCATTACTTGCCAATGTTCCTCTGATTCTGCTAGTCCCCGCCTCCCGTCAAGCAGGACTCTGGAGCACCCCTGAGTTGGGAACGCCCCGTTGATAAACACCCAAACTCCTTCTTGCCCCCTCCCTTCGTGGTTGCTGCTGCTTCTCCCTGGAATGTCCTTCTTGCTCTTCTCGGCCTGGCTGCCCCCAGCTCGCCCTCCAAGTCCAGTGGTGAGGACTCCACGCATCAATTGTGCTAAAGTGCTTCAGGGAGGGCCTGCCCATTGCAGATGCCTCACAAATGCTGGCTTTTGTATTGCCACTTGTCACCTGCAACCCCCAAGCTGTGAACCCCCAAGGGAATGGGCAGTGTCTCCTCTATCTTTGTCTCCCAGCAGCTACGCCAGGGCCCGGCTGAGAGCTCGCGCTCAGTAAGCGCTGTGTGAGCATTCCTTTCCCCACACCTCCTGGGTTCTCTCTCTGTCACTGTGTGAATGGTCACAGGAGAGCAGGGCAGAAACCCCTGTCACTAGACCACAAGCCCCCTGAGGGCAGGGAGGAGCTTGTCTGTCTTGCTCACTGTTTTATTTCAAGCACCTACAGCTCTCAATGGCACATAGTGATCGCTCTGTGAATATCTGTTGATTAAGAAAACACGTGAAGAGCCTGGCTGGTGTAGCTCAGTGGATTGCGTGCTGACCTGTGAAACAAGAGGTCTCTGGTTCGATTCCCAGTCAAGGAACATGCCTGGGTTGCAGGCCAGGTTCCCAGTAGGGGGTGCTTGAGAGACAGCCACACATTGATGTTCTCTCCCTCTCTTTCTCCCTTCCTTCCTCTTGCTTAAAAAAAAAAATATATATATATATATATAATATATATATAAATCTTAAAAAAATATATATATAAATCTTAAAAAAAAGAAAACAAGTGAAGAGAAACATTTCAAGCTATGTTTTTCTTTTCCTTCTCATGGGGACACCATGGGGGTGGGGAAGTTGGGCGGACTTTGGATAGCCTAGGGCTTCCCAGGGGCAAAGCCTGTGGGTTGATTACTCTCCTCTGTTCGCCTCTGCTCCCCTTTCCTGTGCTCCACTCTCCTCCTCCTCTCCCACCCCTACTTCCCATTGTTCCCCGAATGAATGACACAATCAGTGTGCCTGCAGCTGCCCACTGGAATGTGGACCCAGCAGGCAGACTCTCTCCCACATCACAGGAACCGGGAGCTGAAAACTCTGCTGTCCATCGGAGGCTGGAACTTTGGCACATCAAGGTGAGAGTGTGCTGTCCCCACCTTCTCTCTGGGGTTGGGGGTGAGGGCAGGTGGGAGGGTGGAGCAGGCAGGCAGGAAGGAAGTCAGGACCGAGCAGGGAGGCTGGTGGGGGGCGGGGGGCGGGGCTGCAAAGCTAGTGCAGGCACTTTCCTGTTCTCGACCTGGCCCTGGATTCAAGGGCCCCCGGCCCGTCCTCTGTGGTGAGGGAGAGAGAGACGGGGGAGTTCCAGCGGAGGATGAGAAAAGTCGTGGGGGAAAACGAGGGGCAAAATGGGGTCCTCATTATTGTCCCCTCAACCCTTCATAGAAGGTCGGGGTTTTGTTTAGGACAAGAAGAAGAAACACCAGGCCTCACAGGTCCTGGGTCTCCTTACTTTATAAATGGGTATTTATATAAATATCCACCTCACCCTAGAGGAAGGAGCTTCAGGAGACGGCGGCCTGGGAGTGTCACGCTGCACCCCTGCGGGACAGTGGAGGGAGGAGGGACAGACGGGGCCCTGGGTGGGAGCTGGCTCCGCCCACCCCAGGCCCCGCCTCTCCCCTCCAGGGCCCCTGAACCCGGGCTTTGTGCAGATAGGAGCCTGAGGGCTTACACACACACACACCAGGTCGCCGAAGAGGCTCACAGAGGGCTTGTCTGTATGCCACACTTGCAGAAAAGAGAGCAGGAGTGAGAGGTATTAAGGACCTGGCCGTGTTGCACGCAGGGGTCCCTCAGGCATCACCCGGCTAGGGGGTGGCGGACAGATCGTGGGGCACAGGCCTGCCTCACTCTGAATCTGGGGGAGAGTCTAATCACTGCACCCAGAACTAGCCCAGAATTGCTTCACGCTCGCCTCCAATAAATTAGTAGTTTTCCAATAATGTAGGAAAAAACAACAACAAAAAAATCAAACAGTCGATGAACAAAAGAGCAAAGAGGCCGGGTCCCCTACCAGACCCTGGGCCTCTAGGACCACGTCCTGCAACTGAGGCCCAGGTTAACTCAGAGGTCTTTGTGGAAATGCTGGCCCCTGGCTGGGGTCCCCTCCCTTAGCTCGGTCAGGGACAGAGCATTGGTGCCAGGACAAGGGGAAGGGGCCGTGTGAGCTGAGCGCCTGGCCAGCAGGCACCATGTGTTCTGTAGCCATTGAGACAGAGATGCTTTCCACCCCAGGCTGGTGCCTATCTGTGCCTCCTGCCCAGCGCCCGGCCCGGCTGAGGTTTGCGCCTCCTCCCTACTGCCTGGATGCCCCATCCCTGGGTGCCCAGCCCCTTGTGCCGGGAGGGCATTTTAAGGTCTGAGAGTTTCAAAGACCCGCCTTCCTCTCCTCCAGCCACATCCCTGTGCTCTTCACGGGACGGGCACCGAGGACCTTGCAGGAGGTCATGGTTCTACAGGGAGGGCTCCTGGCCTGACCCCCGTCTCCCTGCAGGTTCACCGCCATGCTGGCCACAGCCGCCACCCGGGAGAGGTTTATCGGCTCAGTTATATCCCTCCTGAGGACACACGGCTTCGATGGTCTGGACCTCTGCTTCCTGTACCCGGGACTGAGAGGCAGTCCCATGCATGACCGGTGGAATTTCCTCTTCTTAATTCAAGTAAGCCTAGCCTGGCAGCTCCCGGATCTGGAAGTGATTCTACTTTTATTGTGTGCGAGCTCGTGGCAGGAGGCCAAGGGCAAGAGCAGGAGAGAGCGGTAATGATGTCCTTTTCCGGCCATCGGCCTAGAGCTGTTGGGCCAAAGAGCTGCTGAGCAGGTGTCCTGGGGTGGCTTCTTCACCGTTGCATCCAGGTCCTGCTCCAGTCCTCTGGCTAAGTGATGCTGTCCCTGGGCAGCTTCCTGGACACCCGCAGGCAGGCGGTTGGTGCCCTGTGCTCCCGAGCCTGCCTCCCCCCCACCCCCATTAAATCGCTGACCATGTTGACTCACATCTGCCTTTCTAAAGGGCCCACGGACAGGGCCTGAGTCTGACTCACCTGTACGTTTCCAGAGCCTGGCTCAAGGGGCTCACGAATAAAGGTTTCCTGGAGGGCGCCCTCTTCCCCTGACTGTGTTGTCTGGTTGCCTCTCGCCTCCCACCCCACCCCCAGGAGCTGCTGTCGGCCTTCCAGAAGGAGGCGCAGCTCACTGTGCGTCCGAGGCTGCTGCTGTCCGCGGCCGTCTCTGGGGACCCACACGTCATCCAAACAGCTTATGATGTGCCCCGCCTAGGAAGGTGAGCGGGGGCTGCCTTGGAGGGCAGGAGCGTGCAGGGCGGGAGGCCTTTCAGCTCAGAACCCAGAGCCGCCCAGACACTGCCTTGAGCTTCCTGCGTGGCTGACCTTGTGGGGACGGGCTGAGGAGCGAGGGTGGGGACAAGATCGGGCTCCCTCAGGCCCCAGGCTCTCTTTAGGAGTCAGGGGGAGGGGATGTAGCACCGGCCCCCAAAGTGTCATACGGGGTAGAGTCTCCCGTTTGGCCCACTGCTAGGCCTCCCAGGAGGCGATCCCACAGGCCTGGCCTCTGCCATCCCAGGGTACACCTGTGGACATTGGCTGTGTGGCAGGTGGCTGGCATCGAGAGGCAGCCGAACCACCAACCGCTGGTGCACAACCATGCACAGGAGTGCCCAGCCAGGCCCAGTTTTCAGGGCACAGGGCTTCATGCAAAAGTTCCAAAGCCAGACGAGGAAGAGCTCACAACTCTTTCTGGACAGGCCAGTTCTGGACTGATTTGCTCAAATTTCAGGAATCAAGTATTTACAGATGGGGAAACTGAGGCAGATGCAGAACAAAGACAGGACAGGGCGCTTCTGTGTGTGGCTACACCAGGGAGAGTGGTTTCAGTGTAAGCAGGGGCGGGAGAGACCCAGCGGGGCGGGGCTAAGGGAGTCCCACCTTCACCCAGTGTGGGGCGGGGGTGGGGGGCTTAGGCCAGTTCGCTAACCCGGCTAAGACTTGGTTTCTTCATCTTTAAAATGGAGACGGCCTGGGTACTTAGGGTATTGGCTGGGTTGAAATGCGGTTGGGTAATCCATGGAAGGCCTTGTTCCAGCGACCTGGAAAGTGCTCAAGCGCACTTCGTCACTATGACAGCTTCCTGGATGATGTGGGTTTCCATGGTCCCTTGAGTGGCAGACGGACAGAAGCTCTTTGACTGCTGTGGAACAGTGCCGCTTTGCTTATGACAACTTTTGCAGACCTCTGTTAGCATTTGTATCAGGCCTGAGGGCCTTGGTGTTCTTGTCTGACTCCTGCTTGTTTCTGTGGATACTCTCAGGGATAGCGTAGGTCCCGGGTCGCAGTTCACAGGTAGTTAGTAAGTCAGCTCATCACAGTGCTAATGTGCTGGCCAGCTAGCCAGCACATTAGCACTGTGATGAGCTGACTTACAAATCCAGCTAGCCCAAGCTTTCTACATATTCCTCCTCCTGCCCTGTACAGACTCCTCGACTTCATCAACGTCCTGACTTACGACTTACATGGAAGCTGGGAAAAGTTCACAGGACACAACAGCCCCCTGTACTCTCTGGCTGGAGACCCCAAATCTTCGGTAGGAGAAGGAAGCTCTCAGAGGCAGCCCGGACGCCTGCCCCCAAGCCCAGGCCACAGTGACAGGAAGGGTTTGTTCTTCCCATGTGCAGGCAAACGCCATGAACTACTGGCGAGGGCAAGGGGCCCCCTCGGAGAAGCTCCTCTTGGGGTTCCCCACCTACGGACGCACGTTTCGCCTCCTCCAAGCCTCTAAGAACTGGCTACAGGCTGAAGCGGTGGGACCGGCATCTCCGGGGAAGTACACCAAGCAACCTGGCTTCTTGGCTTATTACGAGGTGACAGGAACAGGATATCACCTTTTTCTTCAGGGGAAGTCATTTGAGTCCTTTGTAAGGGATGAGGGGCCAGGTGGAATCTGAATGAAGGGGGTACAGATATTCACCCCTTAAAAGAATCTTAAATGTCACATAAGTCAATCCTGACTTACTATTTGGCCTAAATAAAAATCGTTATTCTTTGCTATATATATAATTTTAAACATTTGCAAGAGTAAAAGAATAGTATCACCTCCTCTTCCCCCCGCCACAGCCACCCGTCACCCTGCTCCATCCACTCACCTCCCCGTCCACTCACCTCTCCTGACCCCTCTTGGTTCACCGCTACTCCCTGACTCTCTCCGTCCCCACTACGAGATTACTGTGAAGCAATTTCCAAAACATCCTCTACTACAGAGCCTTTCTCCTCTACTCCAATTCTACTTCCTTAATCCTAATCTCGAGGAAGCTTGCTATTTTTGTGGAGGAAGGACTCAAAGAACCAAGGGAATGTAAAACCCATGAAAAGACAATAAAAATCCCAGAGTATGTCTAGAAAGGTCTTATGGAGCAGGTAGATTTTGAGCAGACCTTTAAGTACAGGTAGAATCCTGATGGGCAGGAAAGAGAAGATGGGAAGGACCGTCCAGGTAGAGGACAGTAGGTACCAAGGTACATGGTGTGTGGGCGCGCCAGGTGGAGGGGCCAGTGCCTCTCCAATCTTTGCTCCGTGCTGCCCTGAAGGCATGTTTTCCTGCTAACCCAGTGATGCGTAGTGATGAATGAGAGCAGGCGCAATAATGTTCTTGAAGGACATTATGGGTCACAGACATTTTGATGAAACTTTTAAATAATCAAAAAACAAAAAAAAAGAAAAAAAGAAAAAGAGACTTAGACACTAACTTCTGCAGCCCAGCTCGAACGCTTCCGTTTGCAGGGAGGCGCTGCCTTCAGGTGCTTGATTGATTGCAATGACCTGCTTTTCTTTGCCTTCGAGAACTTTAAATTCGTTAGATTCAAAAGCTAGCTTGATAACTACCTAGATGGGGCAGTTTATACCAACTGCTGCTGGACAGAAGAGAGATTTGTTCATGAAAAGTCTTTGGAAAAGATACAGGTTTGGCCAAGGGTTGGGTGTGCTTCTGCGAGGACTTCGTTCTTGGCATTAAGGAAGCCACCCGCCCCGTGGTTTGCTTGCCGTTTCCACCATGGACATTGGAGGGAGGGGTGCAGAATAGGAGGATTGTATTCAGAACAGCGGGACGCCCTCTGCAAGAGGCTCCCCCTCTCCCGCTTTGGTCCCCCTTCTTCTCGCCGCCCCGTGAGGGACTCTGGACTGTACTCCTGGACGAGGGACAGTGTGTCTGCTGCCACTTGTCCCCATGGCCCCTCGCAGAACTGACCCAGGATCCTCCCGGCAGATTTGCTCCTTTCTCCAGGGAGCGAAGAAGTGGTGGATTGATCATCAGTACGTCCCTTATGCCTCCAAGGGGGAGGAGTGGGTTGGCTATGATGACGCCACCAGCTTCAGATACAAGGTGAGCCCTGGGTTCTTTCTTGATCCAGCATGTAGTCTCCCTCTGGCTACCACGAGGCCCTGGTCTGTGCGGGGGTGGGGGGGGAGGGGGGTGCGGGGGAGGTGCGTGCGCGCGTGTACAGAGTGGAGGAGGAAAAGGTGAGTGTGAGTTTCAGGCATCCCCAAACTGAATAAGGCCTCCTAATCCCATCTGGTCCAATCCTCTTATTCTGAAGAGAAGAAATCTTGGTTGGCCAAGCTCCCATAGCTGATCAGTGGAAGAGGCTAGACTCGGATACAGGCTGTCCTCCTGACCCCCCTGCCGCATTGCCTCCTGGGAGTCCGTCTTCTGTTTTGGGCCACGTGTCCCGTCTAGAGCATGGCCAGTATAGCAGGTTGACTGCCTCCTCCCTCCTCAGGCATTGTACATAAAGAGAGAGCACCTTGGCGGGGCCATGGTGTGGACCTTGGACCTGGATGACGTCAGGGGCGCTTTCTGTGGCACTGGCCCTTTCCCCCTCGTCTCTGTGTTAAAGCGCCTCCTGCTGCAGGCTGGTAAGTAGCTGTGACGTGGAAGCTGGGGTCGGAAGCCTAAGCAGCCCCTGGGTGCATCCCTCCTGTTAGATCTAAAGGCTTTGGCGAGGCAACGCGGCTCTGAGAGAAGAGAGTAAGCTTCGATTGTAGCCTTGGTTTGGATGTGCGCTCCACTGGCCCACTCGGAGCTTGGTTTTCTGTATCTGTCAAAAATGGGAGCAATCCTTAGGCCCCGGACATGACACAACAACCAAAAGGGATGTGGAATGAAAACTGCGAGCTCGGAGTTAGCACTCAGGAAATGCTAGTGTATTTCTCTGGGTTTTTTCCTCCTGCCTTGATGGACCAAGGGCCAGAGAGGGAAATTAGATTTCTTCTGATAGCTCCTGGATACTAGAGACTGCCCTGGCGGGACCGGGACCCTGGCACGCGAGAGCCGACAGTTTATGAGGCTTATTGTGCGGATGAGGAGACGGGGCTCAGAAAGGGAAGGCAGCTGTCAGGGTGGAGACAGGACTCCTGATTCTGTATGACACGCTGTCCAGAGCAGCCTCCTCGGCCTCAACTCTGTCCCTAGTGTCTCCCACAACAGGGCACACGGTCAGTTTCTCCATGAGGATCCAACAAATAAGGACTTAGGCCCTGGGGGCCCGGTCTGGCTGAAGGGGCCGTCAGAGAGGCCAAAGCGAGCGCCTGGGGATAGAGACCTGGTGGGCTCCTTCTTGGGGCCACTCACTGGGAACACAGCAAGCCCACGGAGTGCCCGTGGGTGCCATCAGTTCCCCGGGGTCGTGTGCCCGTGATGAGGTGGGGGGGGTAGGGCCTCTGTGTGTGGGGATTTTACCTATGCCCTCCAGTGCGCCCCTATGCGATCCTCCAGCTCTGGGTTTGGAGGGCAGGGACTTTAGCCGGAGAGGTGCCAGCCCCACCGGGAATTACGGGATGGGGAGGAAGAGGTGGGACTCTCATCCTGTTCTGATGGTTTTCTGTAGAGTCCAGCTCAACTCATTCACCAAAATTTTGGCTCTCATCTGCTGTGAATTCTTCAAGAACTGGCCCTGGAAGGCTGACTGAGACCAAGGCACTGATCGTTGATGCAGGGGGTTTGCTCCCAGGAGGGGTGAATGTGACCAAGGCGCTGACCACCGATTCGGGGGGTTCGCTCCCAGGAGGAGAGGGCGTGGCCACTGAGACACAGAGAAAGACTGAACATATGACCACACCCCCCAGGGGCGGGACTGTGAGCCCTGCCAGGGGAACGGTGCCCTTTGTAAGGCCTCCTGTAGTTCTACAAGGGAAGACTGGGACCCCTGGGGAGAAGACCGTGGCCCCTGGGACCCCTGAGTAGATACTCTGGCCTCTGAGCGTCTCCTGACTGAGACCAATGGAGTGAAGGTCGTGGTCCGTGGAAGGAGCGCAAAGATGGTGGTCATCCCGATGGGAGGACTTTGACATCTGAGGGGGACGCTGACCCCTGGCAGTTCACTCTGGTCTTTAGATGGAGGCTGAAAACAGGATTATATCCTACAGCCCGTCATCCAGCCCCCAGGACACACGTCCCTGGCTTTTGACAACTTCTTAGTTCCTGTTGACAGAAACCACTCTGTCAACCTGATGACCCTTCCAGGTCCTCTCTCTCTCTAAAGAAAGAAAACCTAGAAAAGTCTGCTGCGGATCAAGGAACCTGAGCTCTCTTGGTGGAAGATGCTGGGGAAAGCCCTTGTCTTTTCTCCTGGGTCACCTGACAGTAGCCACTTGTGCCCAGCCATTCATCACCATTCATGGGGGAAGCAGGTCCCAGAGCCACAGAGAGCTCATCTCTTTCTGTTGAATAAACTAGAAACAAAGAATCCATCTGAGTTCTCGGAAGTCTTTCTTTCTTTTCTTTCTTTCTTTCTTTCTTTCTTTCTTTCTTTCTTTCTTTCTTTCTTTCTTCCTTCCTTCCTTCCTTCCTTCCTTCCTTCCTTCCTTCCTTCCTTCCTTCCTTCCTTCCTTCCTTCCTTCCTTCCTCCCTTCCTTCCTTCCTTCCTCCCTTCCATTGATTGGGGTGACATTGGTTAATAAAATTATATAGGTTTTGGGGGTACAATTCTATGAAACATCACCTGCATATTGTGTTGTGTGTTCACCACCCCAAGTCTGACATTATTTTCTTGAAATGACCTGTACAACCCAATCTCAGCTTCTCCTTTTCAAGGCCACTCTCCTTTACCACTATTTTGGGAAGAGAGAGTTGTGTCCGCCCCGCACGATGGTTTCTACTGTGTGCTCCTCTCTCTGCCATGAACAACCTCTCATGTCACTGTTGGTCAGAACCAGGATCTCTTCTAGAATTTTCCATTATCCTCAAGGGAGGCTTGGAGAAGGAGGGAGAAGTTGAATCTTCCCATTATATTTCCTGCTTGGTAAAATCTTAATTGTCTCTGAAAAAACTTCCCCACTCACTCTTCCCATAAGAAGTGATTGAGAGGAGAGCAAAACACAGTCCTTTTGTGTGTTACCTGCACGCTTCTCCTAGGTCTCCTCTGGACACATCAGTTCTCACATATACACACTGCAGTCTACCCACAGGGGGTCTTCCTGGCCATGATGGACCCTCATAAGTTAGTGTAGAAACAGGACCAATTTCTAGCCCTTGCCTTCTAGGAGACAATGATGCTTGGAGTGGTTGTCATACCTATCAGTGATGTTACGTTTTCTTTTTTTCTTTTTTAAATCCTCACCTGAGAACATGCTTACAAAAGAGAAGTAAGGGAGAGAAACATTGATCAGTTGCCTCCTGCCTGCACCCCGACCAGGGACCAAACCCGCAAATTTAGGCACATGCCTGGACTGGGAATTAAACCTGCGACCCTTTGGTCTATGGGATGATGCTCCAACCAGCTGAGCCACACTGGCCAGGGCTGATGTTCCCTTGTCTTTTGGAAGTGCAGCCTCCAAGTCTCTAAGAGCAGAGTCTCAAATTAAAATGCCTGTGAGGCCAGGCCCCCGGGCAAAGTGACTGGGACAGGCGAAGGATGTACCCACATGTGTGTGGGTTCATGGCCACAGGCACATGCTGCTACAGCACAGATCACAAATCAGTGAAGCTGCATAACAAACCGACCCCCAAACGTAGTGACTTACAAGTCAGGTAGATAAGGAAAGCCTAGGATGAACCTGGTGGTGTTGGAATCGGAGATTTCAATATGAAAACACGGTTCTGATAGGATTTAGATAGGTCAACAGAAAAGTTGGTATGGAAATACAGCAGGCATGCAGATAAATCTAGTCCTCACTTGGACCACTGGGAGGGCCTAGAACCAGTGACACCTCGGAAGCAATAAGCCCACGTAAGGCCCAGATCTTGATTTCCAAATGCCGTTTCCCAAGAAAAGGGACTGGGGATCCTTGAAGAGATGACTGATTCTTGGGCTGGAGCAGGGAAGGTCTAGGAAAAGACTGGACTGTCTTACGCTCTAGAAACTAAGGAAGTACTCAAAAACAATAAGGCCATGTCAGAGAGACACAAGAGCCACCTTGAAGGAGCGCCCAATGGCCAAAATTGAACCAGTTTGAGCAACAAAATAATGCTAATAATAGATTACAACCCGCCGAATAAAGTAAATACCATGAGTCCATGTGCTATCAAAGAATCATTGAATAAACAAATGGGGAAGAGGGACAGCTTCTCCTAACAACAGACGATCAGGTAATAAATGTAGAAGTAAGAATCTAGGGTGTTAAGGCAGTAACAAGAGGCAGAGGCACACTTGTGGGATGGGAGAAGCCTCGGGGGCCACCGGCACGGTGGCGGTTTGGCTGAGTGGCATGGCTGGGATGCGGCAGGGCACAGGCTCCAGCGGGCGTGACTGGTGAGTGAGCCTGGTTGTCTACATCCGGGGCGGTGAGTGGAGGAGATGTTATGAGCTTTTCTTGCTTTTTGTTGATCGATTGATTGATTGTATGTTTTACAGTTGTTCCAATTACTGCCCCTCCCCCCCGCCCACCTCCCACACTCACCGTCATCCCCCACCCCATTGTCCACGGCCACCAGTCCTTCCTCCGGGTTCCTCGACTAATCCTCTCACCTTCCGCTTGAATTTCCCAAACTGTTTTGCAAGTTAGGAATGCTGCCACCAGGTGGCAGCAGCCTACAGGGCAACATTTTTTTTTAATACAGATGGATGAGAACTGAGTACAGAAAAAGCAATTCGAATACCTTTCTACAAAAAAAAAAAAGGGGGAAAGTATACATTTCTGTATCTTTATTATTGTTAAAGTATCTAGTGTCATGCATATTGAAGCAAATAGAACTTGTTCACACTGGGCTCAAAAGAGGAGGTTGTGGTCAGGCAGAGGTTGAGTTCAGACAAACCAGACGTCAAGTTCCAGCTCTGCCCTTGAGTAGCTTCGTGATCATGTGACCACAGGGCAGCTGAACCAGCCATGGCTGCATGGAATATGTGCCTGAGACAACGACCGTGTTCAGTAAGTGGGAGCTATTGTTAGAAGCATCTCTGCAGTAGCTCTTAAGTTTCCTTTGAAGAATTCATTTAGAATTTATATAAAGAAACATTAAACCATACACATGAAACTGGAAACTTCTTTCAGTCTGTGCATAGCTCAGCGGCTTGGAGGGTAGGTTCATGATAAAGTTCCAGTAACTTCTCTTACGTTGCTACAATTTTACGTCGAGAGTCATGTTGATAACTGGTCTTTTGCTTTAGAAGCATCCACTAATGCTTCTGAAACACCACATAGTATAAATGGTATATGGAAGGTATTAAGTGTGTCATTTGCTGGATTTTAAAAAACTTTAATGGCTCCTTACTGATTACAGAATAAAGTCGGTATTGCTTAGCCTGGCGTGTAGGGGGCCCGCCTTACAATCTGGTTACACTGTGGTCCAGGGATTCTAACCGTGGTGTGTTGTAATCAGTTAAGAGGCTTGTTGTAAGGAATTTGGCGCAATAATCATTAAAATACTAAATACCGCTCCTTTCATAGAGTATTACAGACTCAAGAGTATTCCTATTTTAACGTTACAGTCCTTTCCTTTTCAAATGGTGTCCTGAGCAGAAAATAATTTTCAAAGTTACAATTAGCAGGGTGAGAATGGGGCAGATGCGTGTGGAGAATGGCTCCTCTGGCCACAGCAGTCACCACGTTCTCTGCACTCACCACACAGTTCCACCCCTGGTGTCGCCCTCCTGCCTCCCATGGCTTTTCCACTTCCCTTACTTCCCATCCAGTGGCTGCAAGGCCCTGATGCAACCGTTGGCCCCTCTGTGCGGCCTTCCCCGTCCCACCAGGAGCTCGCGCCCCCTCTCTGCTCGCTTTATGGAGACTTCATTCAACACGCATTTGAATGCCTAGAGTGGTCACGTTGCCTCACAGTTCGATTATGTGCCACTCATTTTAGCAGGCACACAGCTATTTGCAGACAAGGGCCATTTCTTAGTTACCTTTGCACGTCCAGAGCTTAGTACAGAGGTGAGCATGGAGCAGGCATTGAATAAACGTTGGCTAATTCGTGAATGGAGATGCTGATGTGAGAGCGCAGACCATTTTGGACTGTGACGATCACGTATGGAGAGCTGTGGGTGAGGCTGGTCAGAGGAAGAGGCAGGAAGGAAGCAGAGCATAGACTGCAGATCTCAAAAGGGCGCACGCCCTTTGGAGGACAGAGCAAACTGTTCCGTTGTTCTGGCAGAAGTTCCCACGTCCATTTCCCAGTAGACGCAGGCACCAGGATCTTTTGTCCCCCGTACACTTTACATTTGTTATCACACCCTAATCTTCAGATTCCATCAGCAAAGCCATTAACTGCTTTTTAAATAGACCAGAGTGGGTATTAAAGACCTTCATGCTTGCCAAAAGGAAAAGCAAACAGTCCAGGGATATGTAGGGGAACAGGTTGGTACAAAGGCAGAAAAGCCCACGTGCCTCGAGATCAAATGGACAGGGAGATCAGGGTATAAGAGAGGGACCCGACCTCGCTCCGTGTGTCCCAACACGGGTCTGTCTCTGTGTCCAGTGTGTTGGCGGCCAGTTGAAAATCAGCACCATGAAGATCCTGGTCTTGGCCTTGGTCTTCCTACACCTCTCCGAGGGCGTGGAAAGGTGTGTGTTGGGATTCAGTCTCATTGTGGGTCCCAGCGCTAAGGGGGCAGGACAAGGCAGGGAAGAACGAAAGGCTTCCTCTGCAGATCTCGTGGAGAAGGGGTCAGGTTGTCTCTTGGTGGCACGTACTGAATGCCTGCTGGGGGCTAAGATTTGAAATGGATGAAGGGATGGAGGGATGGAGGGAGGGAGGGAGGGATGGAATGTGCATATAAGGGTGGGTTGGGTGTTTTGTTAGCTAAGAAGGATGGGCAATCCCTGCCTCAAGCTTACAGGACAGACTGGGAAGAAACAGACATTTACTCTTTGGAAACAATATAGAAGCACAGAACCCCGAAGTATTATGCCGTGCATTTCTGTGTTCTTAGGGCCAGCACAGAAATGCACGGCATAATACTTCGGGGTTCTGTGCTGGGAATCCTGGAATTACTATAGTGGTCAGAACTGGCCAAAATCCAGGAGGATTTCCTGTGACAGGCTCTTCTTGAGTCGGGCACCCGAGAGGTTTGAAAACTCTAGGTCAGGTCATTGAAGAAGTGGCTTGAATGGGGCACGGCGAAGCTCATTCTTCTTTTTTACCCTGTCTCCGCAGAATCATCCTGAAAAAGGGCAAGTCTATCCGCCAGATGATGGAGGAGAAGGGTGTACTGGAGGAATTCCTAAAGAGCCACCCAAAGGCTGATCCCGCTGTCAAATATCATTTCAACAATGACGCTGTTGCTTATGAACCCATCACCAACTACATGGATGTGGGTGAAGGGAGAGGACTGTCCATAACTCTTGGCTGATAACCATTTTTAAATACTTATGTATACCCGCCATGAGCTCTGACTTGGGTTAGTCACTAAACCCAAGTCTCACTTTCCTATGGAAAGCATCTGAATACATTATCAGTTAGTACTTCCTGAGAGGATAGTAGCTCCCTGTCCTTCCCCCTTTCCTCTCATTACTGGCCCATCTCTCCAAAGCCACACTTCCATGGTTAAGAGAGTCATAGTGGGAACGTTCAACTTAGTCAAGAGATCCCAAGGAAGTCCTAGCGATGAGCTGCAGGAGAAAGAAGGAGAACACTGTGCAAGGCCCCGGGAGGGCTCCCCAGTGCCTCCAGGCTCTGTGTGCCGCCCCCTCTGGAAGGATACACTCGTGTCCAGTGTCTGCTCAGGGCATCTCAACTTCCTGGTGTCCTGTGGACTGTTCTTAGCGACATGTCACATAGGACATCAGAGCTGGAAGACACTGCGGGGATCTCACAGGTTAGAGATGGAGGAACGAGAGGCAGATAAGTGACATGAGAAATTCACTTAGAGCTTACACTGCCGCTCCGTGAAAATTATCTTCTGGCTTTCCATGTGACCTCTCATCCTAGACATCCTGGCACCCTTTGCTGGTATGTGACCAGGAGGGAGGAGGACAGTGGTGGAAGTATCCAGCACTGGAAGAGAAGGGGAGAAGTGTGTGCACGAGAGAGAGAGAGAGAAAGAGAGAGAGAGAGAGAGAGAGAGAGAGAGAGAGAGAGAAGCAAAGGAGAACAAAGTGATAGCTTTTCCAATGTTGTGTGCTCTGGCATAATGTGGTAAATGTATGGGGGTATCACCTTATTATAAAGGAGAAAACACATTTAGAAGATATTGGCTTGCAAGACTGTCTCAGCCACTCAAAGGCTAGCAATCAGCAACAAAGAAGTAAAATACTGAGAAGAGCTAGCTCCACATGAGGTGGAAAGGTTGTGGCAGAAGCCCCGTCTTCCTCTAAGGAAATAATTTGGGCAAAATGTGACTTCCAGTGGGTCAACTTCTTCCTCATCCTTAGGACAAGGCTAAGCTGCTTAGTGAGGGTGACCAAGCTTTCTTTGCAGGCTTTCTACTTTGGGGAGATCAGCATTGGGACGCCACCCCAAAATTTCCTGGTCCTCTTTGACACGGGCTCCTCCAACCTATGGGTGCCCTCCACCTACTGCCAGAGCCAGGCCTGCTGTGAGTACATCACCACCTGCCCAAGGGAGGGAGTGTGGGGTGGAGTCAGGATTGGGCCCAGCCTTATAATGCCAAGTCCAGAGTTCTTGGTGCCTCTCCATTATCTTGTCCTTCTTAAATGAGGAGCAGCTAGCCACCTGGCCCTCAGGCCACATTTCAGAAGTGCTGACCATTCTGGAGAGAGACAGCAGAAATAGACTAAAACTTCCAATTCTTTCTACATTGTCCTTTTCCCTCAGCTCTCTCCAGTGGGCCAGAATTCCTGACACTTTTGAGGGGACCCATCCCTCAGGGAATGATGGATTGGAAGGAATTCAGGCACTGCTGGCTACCCAAGGGGACAGACTTTTCTGGGACTAACACGGTTTTTCTATATCACAAAGGATGTGAGGCTGAGCCAATCCCAGACTCGGTCTGAGAATCCCAGGCCATGGAGGGTAATTGCCTCCAAGTATTTTGGGAAGCAGTGCATGATGATAGTAGTTCATCCTGTCTTTTCACAGCCAATCACCACAGGTTCAACCCCAGCCTGTCCTCCACCTTCAGAAACAATGGGCAAACCTACACACTGTCCTATGGGAGTGGCAGCCTGAGCGTGGTCCTCGGTTACGACACAGTGATGGTGAGTGCTGTTCGCATAGTTCCTGAGGGTCAGCATGTTGGCTCCCATTTCTAGAGCCTTTAGAGTAATCCATGATAAGTAGTTAGGTCCAGCCTTCCCAGGAGCTGAGAGTCAGGAAAGACGTCAAAGGCCATCTCATTCAACCTTCCTCCCAAGCCAGGAATTGCTTCCAGAGCAGTCCAGGCTGCAGAATCCTCTTCTGTTGCGTCTTCTTGTGACTTGGTCCCCTGGTCTTAGCTCTACCCTCTGGAACCACATAGAAGAATCTGCCTCCTCCTCCTCCACACAACTTCACTGTGGATATTTGAAGACCTGTTCTTTCACTATGTTCTTGTGCTTTTATGTCTAACATTCACAGTTTCTCTATCATTCTTGCACATGGATTATTCAGTGTCAACCCAGTCACTGACCGTGGAAATGGAAACTTGAACTCCAGAAAACCACCTCGTCTGCTTTCTCAGCACCCACGCTCTTTGTTTCCAAAACATGCCCGGTTGGGTGATGCTGTTGCCCTTTCACTTTCCACATCCACACCCATGAGGGAGCTCAGCATGAAAGAAGCCAACTTCTCTCCGCAGCAGAGGCTCTAGATTCCAGACATGGGGCACCTACGTCCAGGAAGGATTTGTCCATGTGAATTGTTCAGCTCTCCTGTCTGCTCGCTCCAGGTTCAGAACATCGTCGTCAATAACCAGGAGTTTGGCCTGAGCGAGAATGAGCCCAACAACCCTTTCTACTATTCAGACTTTGATGGGATCCTGGGGATGGCCTACCCGAACATGGCGGTGGGCAATGCCCCAACGGTCATGCAGGGCATGCTGCAGCAGCGCCAGCTCACCCAGCCTGTCTTCAGCTTCTACTTCTCTCGGTAGGAAGCCATGTCCTGGGAAGAGCTCAGCAAACGAGGTTCTGTGAGGGTTTGGGGGAAACTCCAGTCTCAGGCAGGGCTCGGGTTATAAAGTTTTCTGACTCAATGAATATAACATGCTATATACAATCTATGTAATTCTGAAAATTTATAATCACATTTTTTGGGGGGAGTTTTAAGTGCGATGGAACAATTTTTACTTATGGCCATAAACCATACGATGACTCTTTTTTTAAAAAAATTTGTATTTATTGATTTTAGAGAGAGAGAAAGGAAGAGAGACAGGGAGAAACATTGATTTGTCGTTCCACGTATTTATGAATTCCTTGGTTGATTTTTATATGTGCCTTGAATCAAACCAGGGATCTAACCAGCCAACTTGGCGTATTGGGATGACACTAATCAACTGAGCTACCCAGCCAGGTTGATGACTCTTTTCTTAAAAATAAGCAGTAGTCCCTCAATATTTGCTTAGTAAACCTGGAGATCACTGTATGAGAATGGCAAAGCACTAGAGCTACAGAATGAGTCGTGTGAACATTCACTAGCAAAGAGAGCAATAATGAGATGATGATTATAATGACGTCTCTGGCTTTGTAAAGGGTTCTTAGAGCAATGGCTTCAAATGACATCTTACATGTCTGTTAGTAGCCTCATTTTGCCAATGAGGAAACAGAAGCTCAAACAGGTGGCGAATGTTGAGGAAGGTCATCCGCTGGTAGGTGTGAAGCCAAGACTCAAACACAAGCACCTCGATCTGAAATCCAGTGCTTTTTCCTTCTCCATCTGGCCTTGAACTTTTGTGACATACTTTACTCCCTGACTTTTTTTTTCTCTAAACACATGATCCTTAGGGCACCTGAGGTCCAAATGTCTCTCTCCTATGACTGGCAGATGCAGGGTAATGAACCCAACAGACGTCAATGCTCTTCACATTATCTAGTGACCAACCAGCCTGTGACAGAAGTGTCCCTGTCATAGCCCCATGAGATCTCTGTCAGGCCCCATTCTGAGGGGCTCTCAGTGGGGTTTCTCACTTTGCCCCTGGCAGGGCTTCTCCGGGATCCTTTTACAGTTTCTTTTCAGGTGCCTGGTTTCCAATTCTATCTTCTCTATGGACAGTCCATGCTTCCAGTTTTCTAATACCTTGCGTGTTTCTCTGAGGGTTCCCCTTTCCATTGTGTCTTGAGTCAGGTGAACTCGGAGAGTAGCTCTCACTTTGTGCTGGAGGGAAGGAGGGAGGGAGGGAAGAAGGGTGAGAGGAGCTAGAGGAATGAAACTCACTCACATTATGGAAACTCATGATCGTCGACATTTCCTTTCAGCCAACCAACCTATCAGTATGGTGGGGAGCTCATCCTTGGAGGGGTGGACACCCGACTCTACTCCGGTCCGATCGTCTGGGCCCCTGTCACCCAGGAGCTGTACTGGCAGATTGGCATTCAGGAGTAAGTAGAGAGGACGGTTCCTATGGATTACGGACACTCCTAGGGTGCTTCTCCAGCATGACAATATTTCCTGTTCCTGCCATGGCTTTACCAGTGTCACCAAACCCTCAGGCTGAGATGGACTCTGATGTCCAACTTTTCAGTGAATGTGTTGAACTGGTTGCTGAGCCTTGTCACGCCAGCAGACTGGTCCATTCCCAGGCACTGTGAGTCCCTGTCTTCCTTTTTGGAAGTTTCGTTATCCCGGTCAGCACAGTCTGTAACCTGGCCGTCATCAGTAAAAGTGACAGCTGTCACTGCTATTTTCTGTGTGTCAGGTGCTGTGCTAAGTATTTTACATATGACTGCATGTCCTAGCCACGACGAGGGCATAAATATATTTTATTCCATAGATAAAGAATCCAAGGCTCAGAGGTTAAGTAACTTCCACAAGGCACGCATTTCACAAATGTCAAAATCTGAGCGCAAGTGTATCTGATACCAAAGCCCACAAGCATGAATCAGTCACACCTACAGTCAAGGTCCTAAAAATTCTTCATCACGTGCGAATTAAAGACAACACACCTTGGACCTGGGCTCAAGGCCACACAAAAGCAAGGCTCTACCTGTCAGCATGGCCACCTCACTACTTCCTGACCTGAGGCTCCGGCTTCTCAGAGTCCTTGTGCCTCTACTGTGACTTCCTTGCTTCTTTTCTTTTGAATCGACCACCTGCCATGGGACTCCTCTCCTCTGCGCCTACTTGAATTTTGGGCACATCCTTGAGAGGCTGGATTAACTCCTATCTCCTCCAAAAAGTTGGCCCAGCCTGGTGACCTCTCCCCCGTCCCTGTCTCCCTGTCTCTCTCTCCCTCCTGTAGTATTGACCTGTGTTCCTGTCGCGGTTCACGTGTCCTAATCATTGGGTAAGCCTCTGGGAAATGGCCCAGTGAGAGAGAGACAGACAGAGAGAGAGAGAGAGAGAGAGAGAGAGAGAGAGAAGAGTTTAGCAGTTCTGGGGACTAGTTTAATGTGCTTGGAATAGAGATGTCCTTTACTCACCCTTTCTAAAGCATCACTTGCACAGAAAAATTCTTGTCTGACCCTCCCCCGCCAACTAGATCAACCCCCCTCTTCTCAGGCCCATAACATTTCCTTCTTGGCCCTTCCCAGGGCTGCATCGTTTGTGTGTTCTTGTTAAGTGTCTAGTCCTTCTACTAGACTTGGTATCTGTCTTGCTCACTGTTGTATCTCCAAGTCCCTTGGCTCATGGACAGCACCAAACAAATATATGTGGAATGAAGAGGAAAGGTAGAGCAGCAGAAAAAGCTGGACAAGGAACCAGGGACCAAATCATATGGGACTTTATGTCCCACAACATGGAGTTCATCCGCTCATCCCTCATGGTGTTAGTCACAGCTTAGTGTATTACATTGTCTCATCCATATTACAATGAACTCCTTAAAAACAGTGAGTATCATTAACCCCCCCCCTTTATATCACCTTAATCCCTATAGGCATGTCTGGCACGTGGTAGGTGCTCAAGTGGATTTGTTCATTGACTCCAAGCCCTGGTTGTGTTTGGCACATGTGTTGCGCTCCATACAGGTACCTACAGATGGTTAAAGAAGACAAGTTCTTTTCCTGCCAGACCAGGACTGAGTCATCACTCCAGCGATGACAGCATGCGGGAGCATTAGCTGGGCAGGGGTATAGAGGGGTGGCCTGGCTTCCCGGAACAGTCAGGATGTCGGAGCTGCGGGGTTGGGGGGTATGAAGGGTGATCATGGACCATGTTGGCAGCAGAGGGTCCTGACTTTCCCTGTTCTGGTGTCCCCCCCAGGTTTGTCATTGGTAACCAGGCCACTGGCTGGTGCTCCCAGGGCTGCCAGGCCATCGTGGATACGGGCACCTTCCTGCTGGCCATTCCCCAGCAGTACATGGGCTCCTTCCTGCAAGCGACAGGGGCCCAGCAGGCTCAGAACGGCGATGTGAGTGAAGGGACGCCGTGGGCTCCTCTGTCCACCCAGCAGCCTCAACACGGGAGCCTGGACTCTGGCGGGGGGTTCATGAGGGGGAGGGGGAGGGGGTGGGTGGGCACCCAAGCCCCTGGCAGGACAGGTCATGTGGGGACCCAGCATGGAATGTCAGGCATGAACCCTCCACGCCAGGAAGAGTAAGGGGACGAGCAGCCTGTGAGTCAGGAGGTGCTGTCAGTGCACTGCAGGCCCCGGGAACGCAGGCCAGCTTGGCCTGGCCACTGTCACGGGACGGCACTGCCATCGGGCACAGTGCCTTTTTCCATTCCACCTGAGTTTCCGTCTTTGCCAGGAATACACCTTTGAGTTTTACTGTGAGAAGTCCCCTGTCCCCTGACACCTCCCTCCGTTTGTTCACGTATCAGTAGCTGCTTCTCCCTGCATGAGAGAGTCTGGGCCCAGGCTGAATCCTGGTTCTCCTGGTGCGTGGGGGGGGGAGGCGGGTGTGCATGCGTGTGTGTCTATAAGTGTGTATCTGTGCCTTTTCTCTGTAACTTGTACTTTCGGAGATTAGAAATTGTGTTCTGGAATGAGCCTAACTCCGTAAGGCCATATTGATACAATCAAAAGCTACAAGCTGAGGTGTGTGTAAGGAGAGGGCTCAAGCAGCAGAGGACATGGTCAGCGCTGTGCCTGGAGTCTGGCCGTGCTGTTCATGCCCTGCAAAACCCTCTGCGGGAAGGTCAGGAAGAGAGCCTCACCGGGAAGGGGCCTCGGGCGCTTCGTCTGGGCTCCAGCCCCCGGCGTCTACAGCTTTGCCTCTCTGTCTCCCAGTTTGTGGTCGACTGCAACTCTGTGCAGAGCTTGCCCACCATCACCTTCGTCATCAGCGGGTCCCAGTTCCCTCTGCCTCCCTCTGCCTATGTCTTCAACGTACGTAGCCACTCCCAGGCTCCCTGGATATGCAATCGTATGGGCCCAACAGCTGTTCCGTGTCCCAACCCACATCTGGGCAACTTTGGAGAATCCCCAGGGGCAGGGCTGAGGGTGAACAAGAATTCAGAGACCCCACGGGTGCCATGGAACATAGGGTGGGGGGAGTTCCGGTGGGGGAAGGTCTCTGCAGTGCAACTGGTTATATCCTTATGGCCTTTGTCTCCTTAGAACAATGGCTACTGCAGGCTCGGGATCGAGGCCACTTACCTGCCGTCCCCCAATGGGCAGCCCCTGTGGATTCTGGGAGATGTGTTCCTCAAGGAGTATTACTCTGTCTACGATATGGCCAACAACAGGGTGGGCTTTGCCTTTTCCGCCTAGACAGCAGAGTCTCCCTGCAGGACTCTGGGACCACCCGACTGTTTCTGTGGGCGCACAGCAGCATTTTAAACTATCCTGACCCCTTCTGCTCACTGGAGTCTTACTTCCTGCAACTAATAAATCAGGCAACTCCAAACGTCTTTGAAGTTCCTTCCCAGATGCTTTTCTTGTGTGTGTTCTGCTTTTAGTAGTTTACTCTAAATTGGACCTTAGCAGCAGTTCTTTCAGGGGATCTTTTAATTGATCAATGTTTATTCATAATGCTTTGATTTATTTCAACAAGTATTTATCGAGCATGCATCATGCGCTAGATACTACGTTCAGTACCGAGGATACAGATCACAGATATACAAGGATGAAAGAGCTATGAAAAAGGATATCTGAAAGAATACAATGTTTTCTACTATCTCAGCTAGAGCAAAGAAGATCATAGACTATTGCCAGCTTGGGGGATTTATGGAGGATGTTAGATATTGTTGAGATACCTCAAGGATATTAGGTATTTGTTGAGTAGCATAGATCCAGGCACCTTTCAGGACACTGTAGGAGAAGAAAGATGAATAGGAGAGTCCCAGGAAGCTTTCTTTCTGGTGGCAAGACAAACATGTACGCACCCAATTGAATACCGCCATGGGTAAGAGTCATGATAGAGTATGTACAACGTGATAGGAAAAGAGTGAGAAAGCAGTGGTCAATTCTGTTTGGGTGAAGGATGTAAAAATAGGTAACATTTGACAAGGGGAGAGTACAAAAGTAGAAGTTTGTCAGAGGAGAGTGGGAAGGGTATTGTATGAGAAGAGAACTGCATGAGCAAAAACATGGATGTATAGGGGTATACAGGAGTGTTTGGGGGGACTCTGAGCAATCTAGGAGCTATAAAATCAGATCTTAAAGAAAAGAGGAAAGGGGGTACAGGGAGCCATAACAAGTATTTTGTGAGTGGAGATGTCATTTTGCTTTCCTATTTCTGGGTTACGATGACCTCCCTGTCGGAATTTGGCAGTTGGCGGGAAGGTATGGAATGCCACTGGTAACTGGTGCTAGAGGACTCCAAAATAACTAAGGGACAGTTCATCTGCCACCAAAAGGCCAGTCCAGCTCTACTGTAGGCTCTGTAGAAGGATTATTATGCCACCAGACTGTCAGGAGTAGATGTTGGGGTTGAAGGTGATTTCTAAGGACTAGGGTGCTTGGGTTGGTGATGGTTCTTCTAACACTTGGAGCTTGGGCTAAACCAAATACATATGGGAGAAGGAAGGAGGGTGGAAAAGGTGATGGCATCTCAGTGCCAATAAGGATCATGCCTTCTCCAGGTTCACCACCATGGTGGCTGCAGCTGACATCTTTGAATATAGACATATATATTCATATTCCATATTCACCACTTTTATTCAATTTAGTTTTGGAAGTTCTAGCCTGGCCCCAGAAATAAGACAAGAAAAAGAAATGAAAGACTTTCAAATTGGAAAGGATAAGGTAAAATTGTTATTATTTGCAGATGACATCATATATACATCAAGAAACCTGAAGGTTCCTAAAAACAATTAGAACTGATAAATGAATTTAATAAAGGTAGCAGGATACAAAATGAAAATTAAGAATTTGTTTGCATATGTATACATCAAGAACACACTATCAGAAAGGGAAATTCGGAAAACCAATTTACAATTGAGTGATAAAAAAACCCCTATGAATAAATTTATCCATATATTCAATGCAAACTTCATCAAAATACCATGGCAATTTTCATAGAGCTAGAACAAATAATCCTAAAATTTATATGGAGCCACAAAAGACCTCAAATAACCAAAGCAATCTTAAGAAAAAACCAACAAAGTTGGAGGCATCATGCTACCTGATATCAAACTATACTACAGGGCTATAGTAATCAAAACAGCATGGTACTGGCATCAAAAGAGACACAGATCAATGAAATAGAATGAAAAGGCCAGAAATAAGCCCATGCTTTTATGGCCAATTAATCTATGACAAAGGAGGCAAAAATATACAATGGGGGTAAAGACAGTCTCTCCAATGGTGTTGGGAAAACTGGACTGATACATGCAAAAAGTGAAACTAGACCACTTTCTTACACCATGAACAAGAATAAACTCAAAATAGATTAGAGCTAAAGGTAAGACCCAAATCATAAAACTTCTAAAACAAATCACAGACAGTAAACTTTTTAACATTGCTCTGAGCAATATTTTTTTGAATATGTCCCCTCAGGCAAGGGAAACAAAAGAAAAATAAACAAATCAGACTACATTAAACTAATAAGTTTTTGCATAGCAAAGGAAACAATCAATAAAACAAAAAGACAACCTACAGAATGGAAGAAAATATTTGTCAATTATACATCTGATAAGGGTTTAATAGCCAACATATATTTAAAACCTCTTTCAACTTCTCACACACACACACACACACACACACACACCCAAACCCAAACAATCCAATTAAAAAATAGAGGACCTGAACAGACCTTTTTCCAAAGAGGACATACAGATGGCCAACATATATGTGAAAAGATGCTTAATGTCACTAATCATCAAGGAAATGCAAATTAAAACCACAATGAGATATCATTTCACATCTGTTAGAATAGCTACCATCGCTAAATCAACAGACAAGTGTTGGCAAAGATGTGGAGAAAAGGGAACCCTTGTACACTATTAGTGGGAATGCAAGTTGATGCAGCCGATGGATCAGTTGGATACTCCTCAAAAAATTAAAAATTTAACTGTTTTATGCCCAGCAATCCCACTTCTGGGTATTTATACAAAGAAATTCAAAACACTAATTCAAAAAGATATATGCACCCCTCTGTTCATTGCAGCATTACTTACAATAGCCAAAATATGGAAGGAACCCAAGAGCTCATCAATAGAAAATTAGATAAAGAAGCTGTGATACATATATACAACAGAATATTACATTACTGAGCCATAAAAAAAAAAAAAAAGAATTAAATCTTACCATTTACAACAACATGGATGGACATAGATTACACTAAGTGAAATAAGTCAGAAAAGACAAACACTGTACCACATGCGATCACTTATATGTGGAATCTAAAGAACAAAATAAATGAACAAACAAAAACACAAACATACTTGTAGATACAGAGAACAGCTGAGGGTTGTCAGATGGGAAGGGGGTTGGGGAGCTGGGTGACAAAGCTTAAGGGATTAAGAAGTACAAATTGGCAGTTACAAAATAGTCGTGGGGGTGTAAAGTATAGTATAGGGAATATGGTCAATAATATTATAATAAATATGTATGGTGCTAGGTGGGTAATAGAATATTGAGAGTTATTTCATAAATTGTATAAATGTCTAACCATTATGCTGTACACCTGAAACCAATATAAATAATATTGAATGTCAACTGTAACTGAAAAAATTTAAAAGTAAAATATATATACCAAAAACCCATTAGAAAATTGCATACACTTGAATAGACACTATAGAAAGGATGGCAAACAAATGGTCAATACAAAATGTTAAAAAAAAAGGTTTAACCGCTTAAGCTTCAGGGAAGTGCCATAAAATCACAATGAGGTACTATTATACACAGACAGCTTTGGCTGATGTAGAGAAAAGCCACGCCAAGTCAGCCAACGCCTGGTCAATCAGATCATTCGTGTACATCTAGTAGGAGTGTACGTTCAGAGAGTCGATTTGGTCATCGCTGGATTAATCTGGAAAAGCCTTTGGCAGCATCTACTAAAATTGTATTTACACTTACCCTGTTCCCTGCACACAAAAACGCCCACAGTAATTGTGGGCATGTGTTCACCACCGGCGTGTGCTCCTGCGCCGTGGCACCTGGAGTCACATGGCTCTGTGTTGCGCACAACCCACGGCCCATGAGCAGGCCCATGACCAAAGCTTGTGCTATCTGCACCCAGCAGAAGTACACACACAATAAGAACTCACAACTAACAACAGGCAATGTTGAGGAGTCACCCTACAACCCTAATACTAATCCCGGCCAGGACAGCGAACACCTTCTGGGTCCTTCCCGCGCACGTAAACACTAAAACTGGCATAGTTAATCTGTGGTTCTGTTATGGCGCAGGACAAGCCTGCCCAGTCAGAGACTCCCCAGTTTGACCTGAGACACAGCGGAGTAAAGCAAGGGGTGGGGTTCCTTAGACAACGTCTGTGCATTGGCTCCAATGATCTAGAGAACTCTGCACCCTGGCAGCAGGTGCCCAGGGGACAGTGAGCGCCCGGGGGCCGGGAGGGCCCGGGAGCAGTGAGTGACCAGCGGCATCATCAGATGCCCCCTTACGCACGGGTTTTCTCAGCACCCTGCTCTGTTTTCATGGTACTTACTTTCTGATCTCAGAGCCTGTTCTCCAAAACTCCTGCTCCCTCCAAAAGCGGCCCCAAAGCCTGGGTGTACATCATTTTGCACACACAGGTTGTTGCAGAGCAGTACCCCCTGGGAAGTGGTAAAATCCATATTTATCCTCTGGTATCACCTGATTTCAGTTGGGATTAAAGACAGGCCATCTACTTGGATTGTTCTCAACACGGATGTGCATTGGCATCACCTGGAGAGTTTTACAAACTGACATTTGTGTCTAGTCCCAGGAACTCTTACCTGCTGATGTGGGGCGCAGCCTGGTGCACAGTGTCTTACAGCTCCCAAGAGCCTAACGGACAGCCAAGGATGAGAAACCAGTCCTCAGGCTTTCTGCGAGCTGTGGTCCTCGGCCTCGTTTAGCACGAAACACGCTGGAGGCACTTTTAACAAGAGGGCGTCTGGGCGTGTTCTCACCCAGAGTATCAGAATGGCTGGGGTGAGGCCAGGAAATCGATATTTATTTTTTTAAGAACTCCAGGTTTTTTAACTGTAAGTTAAGATGAAGGACATTTCTCTCCTTTTGGAGTTTCTCAGGCTCTGCAGAACATTGAAATTACAAGGTGAAATACTGAAAAGAACTGGATTCCAGGCAGGATCAATGGCCTCTTACGCTAGGGGTAGGAGTGCGGAAGATATTTGTGCTTGAAATTTACTGAGGGAACCTAAGTATAAAGCGAATTGTGCCAGCCACTGCCTTTAAGTGTAAAGAAATGAGAATGCAGGACGATTGGTGAAGAAAGA